AATGTTGCTGTTACAAGTCCTAGGCTGATGTGAAAGACTACATTGGAGACATAAAATTCTTCTGCAAAAAGGGTGCTATCCTTGTGCATACTGTGGGGGCAAAACAAAACTCCTGTTTGAGAGGTTACAAATGCGCTGTATTTTCAAATTATTTAGGGCAAGCAACTTTACCCAGCTCCGTGTTTGAGGTCACACAGCAAGCAAACATACAGAAAGCCCAGCGAACCTATGGACATTTCTTGTGTAGACAGCTGTCAGTGCAACAGCTACAACCTCGATCCATGCTGCGTGGAAATGTTGGAAGTTGATGTAAGGCAGAATTAGCTGCAGATCCTCTTGACTAATTTCTTAAACAAAAGTCATTAACAAATTCCTACACATCCCACACTTCCAAATTTAGCTTTATTATTTATCAGCACAAGTTCATAGAATCATCACCAACTTTCTGAAGAAGGAGGTGTCCTGGGGCCTTATTGTCATTTATTTTGCTGTTCAGGGTAGGGGATTATTTTTAGTTTTAATACAGACAAAACCTGAATGTTTATATGCAGCTCTGAGAGGGTAATTTTGAAGATTAGATGTGTTTATTAAGTGGGTTCTTTGCAAGAAATGACTCTGCTGGCCACATACTGGGAGCAGTGTTTGCTTGCTTATTTTTTCAGGCAGTTCCTCCCTTGCTAGCATTGGTATTGCTTTGTTACCATATGAAATAATTTTTAAAAAAGCAGGCATCCTATGTGATCTTTGCTCAGTTTACATTTTAAAATGGAGTCATAAAGGGCTGTAGCTGAAATCCTGTGCTCTGTGTGTGTGTGTGTGTGCTCTGTGTGTGTGCGTGCGCATGTGTAAGGTTTTGGTGAAGAGAATAAAATTGTGACTTCAGCTTGTCAAAACTGTGTAGCAGCCTGCAGCACCACTTCACCTAAGGGTTTGCGCTCTGTATTTTCTCTCACTTTGAGGTAAAAAAAAGGCTTAGAAATCATGTACTGTGCCCTGTTTTGGCATGGATTCCAAGTGCTTGAAATGAAAGGGATTTTTATTTTTCTGTCTCGGTAATTAAGCTAGTTTGATTGTATAAAGTTTTTGGTAAATTTACTGTGAGAACAGTTATTGTAAAACCCTGCCTTGTTCTGTCACCTCGCGCCTTTTTTCTTCTTTCTAAAACCCTTCTTTAGAGCAGGTTGATTTTTCACCAAGCTAAATGCAACTGCTTTGTACCCTATGTGCGAACTTGGGAAATCCTGGGTTTATGAAATCATCAGTGGAGGCTAAAGGTTGTAATCAAGGCCTGCATTTCCGAGTAGAATTCCCTGTTGATGTGAGTGGCAAGTTTTGCAGATGGACCAGTGACAGTTTGGGATCTTAACTGAATTGCAAAACTGGGCCCCAGTCCTTCAGAGTATTAAATACCATCAAGTATTCCTGATTTCAGGAAGTTAAAAAAAAAAAAAAAAAGGTACTCAACATCTTTCACAATCGAGGCCTTATCGCTCAGATAAGAAATTGGTTACCGTAGGTAAGTGGAGCCCTTGCTTACAATGCCCAGTGCCATGGGCCCTTTCTTGCCCTTCTCCAAATTATTAGCTTTTTTTTTTTTTTAATATGGTTAGTAAACGTCAGAGCTGAATTATGAATTTTATGACTAGTGGTTTTGTTGAAGTTCCGGATCAGATTACGTCATCTTTGTATTTTTTGGCATTGCCAGTGAAAGTAGAAGAACATGGCAGATAGACGAGAATCGTACGGGAGGAAGGGGAGTTACCCTGTGATCGTGAGGCACGGCGTGCTGGTGTGGGCGAGAGGTCCGAAGCGTACGCATGCAGTGTTTCCTTTCCTGTATTCATTCAGGCAGCAGAAACAATGGAGAGGTTTGGAGGAGATGGGTCAGCTTGTTTTGTTGTTAGACTCCCTGTTGATTGAGATGGCTGCGTGCCTGGAGTGGAAGGCTTCCAAGCCACACCCCGCTACTAGGAGCATGTCTGTAAGCAGTTCAGCTGACGGGTCCAAGGCGAGCTGGGAAGTGGGATGTACAGACCTCCACATGGGACAGAACCCTTCCTTTCTGAGCTCAGGCTCATTACAGATCCCAGAGCAATTTTTTTGGAGCCAATTATTCTAGCCAAAATCTAGCGTTCCACCTCCTTTAATTCCACAGTTTCATCTGGACTCTGGTTTTGTACCTTCCTGTCCTAAACACCTGCGGTACCGTTGTGCATTGTTAAAACTTCAGTATTGCTGCTCTGGGCAAACCAAAAGAACACTCGTGATCTCTTTACTTACCTCCTGTAGTACTGTCAGCTTTAATTCCTTTGGTGGGTTGTTTTTTTTTTTTTGTGACATTCCCAAAGATCAGTAGAATGAAGGACTCCAGGAAGTAAAAGTAGAAAAGCTCGGAAACACTGAAGTTGGCATGTTTTCTTAATGACATCACTGCCCTGCAAGACTGCTCATGGAGCAAACCTACCAGGCTCCTGTTCAGATAACACAACTAGGGCTCAAAGGAAACACCTTTAACTATGCAAAAATATTTCAGTTGCTTGAAAGGTTTGTTTCATCAGCCAGGCTAATTGTTGTTCAAAATCTACAAAAATCACAGTTTTGTCAAACTCATTCCCTTGGTCCATTCTCTGAAAACGCCCACCTTTGAAAACAAAAGGTGCAGAGGGCGAGCTAGCGGCTCTCTGCAGAGAGAGCTGTGCTTAGTGTAGCCCTTGTGTTCTATACAGCAGCAGGAGAATGAGTTGTCCAACATCACACACACACCCCCAACCTATTTTGACAACACTAAGTTGTCAACATACACTTCATTTTTGAATGGAAACATTTCTGAGCTGTGGTTTATTTATGTTTAGTTCTGCAATGGGACTTTCTTCTGTGGTTCAGAGAACCAAATTACCAAAAACCTGTTACAACCTGAAGTGAGGTTGTCTGGTTGCTCTAATTCTCTTTTTCTTCCCTCACAGGATTTGACAGGTGGAGCATTTGAAACAAACCTGAACACGCTGAACTTGAAGGAAGGGATGGATTATTATCACTTCAACTAAACACCAAGGTACGGCAGCGATACTGAAGCTGTGTTATTTCTCTTTGTGTGTAGGAAGACCAGAGTGCTTGGAGGTTTAGAATTTTTTAGTAATTTCTGCTTCCTTAAATGAATCTTTGTACTGAGTAACCATTTTCTAAGGGAGGTCCTAGTTACACCTTGGATAATGCTATTTGCTCGGTTTACTATTGCACATCACTTGTTTACCAAACTCAGTTTGATTGTTAAACTGTATTTCTAATTTAAATCACCATCAAAGACAGGCCGTAAGATTACGAGAGGACTGTTACCATAGGGAAGCCTTAAAAATGCATCAAGGAAAGCCTATAACCCCTGGAAGTGTAAAGAGAGGTTTCTGTCAAACGTTGCTTGGGGCCCTCAGCCTTTCCCTGCGATGGGCTCATTTCCTGCTACTGGGAGCAGCAGCTGGTGCTTGCCGAGGCAAAGCTCTGCCCAGGGCCAGCACGGAGGGGCCAGCGTGGCCTCCGCCGCTTCGGGGCTGTGTGAAAAGTACGGTTGTGTTGGCAGCGTCCGCTGGCAGCCAGGTGATCGTACGGACAGACACTCACAACTTTCATTGGACCTTCTCAGATGGTTTTTGAATAAGCAGGCTTTGCCAACACAACCCGGTTGGGTTTTTTTCTTGCAGCAGGGACCTATAGGTATAAATGTTGCAAAACCAGGCTCTTTCAAGAATGTGACAGAAACGTCCATTTTAATGGCAGTGTAACAACACAGGGGTTGTGGGCTCAGGAGTGTTTCTTCGGCAGTAATGCCTGTTGCACAGTATGTGACTCAAGTATTGTTTGTTTAATAGTTAGTGAATAACACTGATCAACGTTGAATTTCATCTGCCAGTCCAGGTTGCAAGTATACTTAAGAAGTAATGAATACTAGAATTGATAGTTACTTTCTTAAAAAGGAAAAAGAATCGTAGAGACAGGCAGGTTGCAGTTTTGGGAATGAACACCTGCAACAGAAGATTGCTGCAGTTTGTAGCAGGTACTTCACAGAGAAACGCTTGTTTTTAGCTCCTCTGCCTGAATTTGTCCTTCCTTTCAAATTTTCATAGATGTGTGTGTACTTATATATATATATATACAAACAGCCACTCTTCTACTTGAAGTGCTGGGGTAGTGGGATTTAATTAGAACCATCAAATAAGACAGTGTAATTAGCATATCATCTTGCCTGTGCATTTGTCCTCCCCATCCCATTAGTCTTACTAAAGATAAATGTTACACCCATTTCATTTTATAGTCAGTAAGAAACGGTCAGAATTCCTACCAGTTGCTTGAAGTACTGATTCACTTCTGTTCTTCAAGGGAAAAAAGTAAAGCTTCAGTCCCTAAAGCTAGTTTACCACACAAAACATTTGCTTGAATTAGTTATATAAAGAGCTATTAAGAGAGGCTTTGACTTTAGCTGAAGTGAAACCTGGATTTTTTGTTTGACGATGACATAAGAATGACAGACTTCTCCACAGAGATACTTTATGTTCAGGAGGATTTCATTATCACTAAGCGTTGCCATTCTTACCTCTGAAAAACAATTCTTTTACAAGACTAATGCAGCAGGCCGGGTTTAATACTTCGTGTGTGTACAGCAAGCACAGGCTGAATGGCTTCATTCAGAGTTGTCGAAGTATAAATCACTGACATCAAAAAACCCCCAGGTCAGTTGTGACAGAAATATGAAAAGAAATCGCCATCTTCTGGCTACAGATAATGACTTTAAGAACTGAAAACATAATGAATCTTTGTTGCCTTCCTATGGCATATCTGCAGAATGCTTTAAGACGTAACCTCTGCCTCTTATTTTGTTGAACAGTGCACTTCGCAGCTCGTGCTGAGAATCCAGTTTGTCCGGATGCTGCAGCACAAATCCTTCCAAGTCCCAATGGCACCTGAACCAAGAGCTTCAGTTTACAAACCAGCAGCCAGTGCCTGTGACTTCATTATGCTGAACTCTGCAAAAGAGAAAGAAAGAAATGGAGTAGGCATGTATCACTATTTTAACAGTATCCTAATCACATAATTAAGTAAACTAAACGGAGAAGAAAATATAGACACACGAAGCTGTAATATTTACAGTCCTCTAACACCATAATTTTTAACTACTCCAGCAAATCTTATTCTTACAAGTTTTAGAGGAATGATAAGTGGTGATTTCAGCTGAAATTACCTTCATTACCCTTTTCATAATGTTATGCTTGGCTTCCTCTACTGTTTCTCCTCTGTTCTCAGGATATGTGAGCTCTTGAAGAGCAGTGTTGTGCAGTCCTGTGTGAGCACAACCTGGCCGCAGCTAGGGACATCTGGACAGCTGTGAAAAGTCCTTCACGTTCACTGTCGCTTTCAGCGTGAACTCCAGCAGTTCTCAGGGCAGGTGCAGGCTTAACTTTTTGCTCAAAGTTACACTGACTATTGGCTTATGTTAAATGAGGAGGAAAAGGGTAAAGTCCCAAATTCAGCACATAACTTCCAGATTGCACACGATACTGTTTGTGACAGTTCCATCTGAAATGCCTGTATGTATATTTGGCTATTTCTTATTACTTTGTTTATATTAGAGACAGTTTTCTCCTAACTTGTCAGTCTTCTCTCAGCCTCCAATAATTAAGGAATTGAAATAAGGTTTTTTTTGAGATCAGAGAGTTCATCCTGTAACATCGTAATTTTGAACATAACATTTCTGTTAGTTGACTAGAAAACCTTGAAACAGTAATGCTGAGGTCAACTTTTGCTCTAAAAACAATTCCTTGTATGGACGAGAAGTTCAGATTCTTGCTTTCCAAAAATTACAAAAATGTTAGTTGCAGGAAAATTGTACTAAAAGCAGAAAACTGTAGCGATGATGGTAAAAACTGGAAGATGAGTAACGAAACTTCTACGGGGACAGCAGGGTGTCTTTGAAGGTTATTCATAGATGCCTTACGTGTTAGTCTTCTGACCAATTTTTTACATTTACTTTTTTTAAAGTATATATATTTTTGTACCAATGACAACTCAAAACATAGGATCTGCTTACATTAGGAAGCATCTTTAGTATAAAGGATTATCAGAATATTACCCAGGAAGAACTGGCTGACCTCAAAGACCAACATAATGTAACATCACAGCGAGCCAGTTCAACAAGCCAGTGCTCAAACCGCCATTAGCGGAGATCCCCTTTAGAGGCCGTGCAGCAGAAAAGAGGTGGTGACTTTCAGCCACAGATGCTGCAGCTGTGAAAAAGGCTAATGCAGTCCTGAAGAGGAAGGTACAGGGCAACAAAATAATGCTTTGCGTAATTCTAGTCACGAAAATGAACTTCATGGTGTTCAAATATTTTAGAAAATGAAGGGAATGAAGATCCAGCCTACTGGGAAAAACTTAGGAAAGAAGACTGCACGAGTGATGTTACTGAATTCTAAAACAATTACAAAGGACAAAACTTTCCAGAACTATGAAAGCAGAACAATAAAAATGACAAAGGCCAAGAATTAATTGATAAACCTCTATTTTTAAGCTTAACCAGTTTATGGAATAGATCATATGCTGCGGTTGCCTGTGATCCTAGGGAAGTAGCCTTGGTTCATCAAGCATTTTCACCTTGTCTCATATTACTCAAAGTAAAAATAATTTTTCCTTGTAAATTGTGATGTTAACACGCGTTCTCTAAACCAGCAATAATTCAGCCTCCTCATCTTTGGACAGAGAGGAGAGGAACCTCTCAGAAACCCTGACCAGAGCAGAAAATTCTGTACTTCCGAAACACTGAGCACATGGGCAATTCCAAACTCTCTGCATTAAAATGAAACGGGACCTCCATCTGGATATATTGTCTGTGATCTTCTGAACGTATTCGCTTTTAGATTATATTCTTCCTCTTAGGCAGTCTTAGAATTCTGTGGTTTGTACAACATCTCACTTTATAATTTTGCTCTTGAAATTGACTGGGAAGTTTTTATCTTTTTTTCTTTCCCCAGAAAGGGCAGACTAACAGTTTCTGAAGCCTCTGTACTGCATTATTTCATTCTTGCGTTTTGTCCGAGTTAAGATGTCACACTGCAAGTCTGGAATGTTCTCAGGAAACAAGACTGGAAGGGCTTAAGACAACAGTCTTCAGCAATTCCATATATTCTGTAGTTAGCTGTGAGGACGTTCCTCCTGGTGCACATTGATACAGTCACGAACCAGGGAAGAACTGCATCTGTTGCACAGAAGTACACAGTAGATTTGGTGGAACAATTGATCGTTACCGTTCTTTAAAAAAACCTTAGGAGCACATTTCCATACTTTACCTTGGACACCAGCTGCGGTTTGGGCACTTTCATGAGATCACAGAGACAGTTGCGTTTCTCTCTTACTACCGGCAATTCAGCTTCCCTGCATGAGGAAGTATTTTCCAGTTAATTCAAAAATAAAAACCTGAAGGTGGCTACATACATACAATTTCTTAAGCTATCCATATTATCATTATATAACTATGCATGCATCTGTTTTTCATGTACATTTCAAATTGTGCAAGTTTTTCTTGTGTCACATTTTAAGAATAATGCAACTTTTTTGTACCATCTTAAGCCAGATAAACCATAAATACACAGAAGGTCTTCCACAAGTGACCAGTTACTAGTAAAATGCCCAAGACTATTCTTTTATGTTTTAGTATTAAAAAAAATAAATAACCCTTTTGATTAGAAGTTCACTAATTTATTCTCTAAAGTCACAGCTTCTTTTTGCTTAAGACGACTTCACATCAAGGATTAAAATAAACACCACTGGATTTGGAGAACATTCTACAATCTAAAAAAGGTTTCTCCTGAAATAATAGAAAATCTAGTCCTGAAATTTGTGAGTCTTTTAAAAAGTTGCTGTAATAGCATGATGTCCCTGAGAGAATTGCCTCAAGAACTGTCAGTTACAAAAAGCCCCCAAATGCCAAAAACCCATACAGACAACATTCTTTTCCGTGTTGTAAAAATCTGCCACTCTCACTGGAATGCTGTGAGACTGCTGGTATTACTCACCGTTTCAGTAGATTGATTTTGTTTTTCTTAAGTAAAAACTGTAAATGAGCTACTAAAAATTTAACTCTTAGCACATAAACAGAGTCCAAAACTACAGAGAAAAAGCATAAAGGACGAGTTAGAAATAACTTGAATTTTTTTTTTTTTTTGACACCTTGGACAATTTGTCATATTTAATACTGGAAGCCTTCCTGTAGCTAAACAAAATGTATTATTTATAGAGTAATTTGTTTAAACTCTGAACTACACAGTTGTACGATAAACTCTCTGTAGTTCCAACAAGGAACAAATAAGCGTATGCCAGTCATTATCATCTTCCCCAAATACTAATTCGCATTTGGCTTCCTGATGTTAATGCTTATTCTAATTCAGAATTTGCTATGAGTGTTTTAGAACTGAGAGAGCTTGAGAATAACAAGCAGCTCGCTCTGACGCTCAGCAATGACTTCAAATATCTTCTTTTGTAAACAGTTCAAATCTACCAAGATAAAACAATTAAGTTTTAAGTAAACTAGCTCTTTGTCTTTACTCTTAGTTCAGGGCTCGCTCTAAATTCCCTGTTGCACTAAGACAGAATAAAACAGGCAGCTAGTCACACCTTAAAAATGACAAGGTGAAAACAGAATATTTATTTTTCTTGAAGCGGTTTTTAGGAAGTATTTTGCTTTGTTTTAGTGACCCCTTTGTGAGTAGAGCTGTACTACCACCACTGCTTTTTCTGTAGCAGTTTGGTGTGTACCACTTCAAATTTTGGTATTGTAAACATCCCTTTGTGACAGCAGTAATCTAATCCTACTCAGTTGTTTCTGTTAACAAATTCTTTATGTAAGTCTGCTCTTCAAAATTCAGATTTCATAAGCGAGAACTGAAGCACACTAAACACAAAACTAAACATCAATACGTAGTTAAGCAAGTAATTTTAACAACAGGCAGACTTGTTGATAACCAATTTGTCACATCTGAGACCGTTATTCTAGTTTTGTATTGGAAAATTCAGAAAAATAGCAGCAGCCACCTCTTACAATGACAAACATAGTTTTCTTTTCCCAAATATAAAGTATTTAAGCTCAAGCACCGAAATAAACTAGAAAGTAAATAAAAGTTAAATAATGTAAACATGCAGTCTGATAATATGTAAACCACAACCTTAAGATATTTGTTCTTTGAACATGTATAGATTAATTTTATTTCCATGAAATGTCAATGAGGAGGAAAAAGGCATTTAATATAATGACTTAATAAATGAAGTATTTTTTTATACCTGTCTATTTTCATGTATTAGCTTTGACTACTGTTTGGGGCAGGGTGTTGGGCTAGTAGACCCATGACCCAGGAGTCCCATCTGTTAACAAGGAAAAATGTTTTAACATGGCAGCAAAACGAATACACTAATTAGTACCTGAACACTCTCTACCTTCTCAAATATCCGAGCCATGCAGTCTTTTATAAACTTTTCCAGGTGACTCTAACACATGATGCTAAACTTTGCAGAAAGGGAAAAAGGGAGTGCCAAAACGATGGTGAGTGTTCCCTCCTCCTGTCACTTCAAAGGTGCTGACAGAACGAGGAGTTCCTCCTGCCCCTGACAGACACTTTGCTGCTCTGGTGAATCTCGCTCCTGAAGAGCAGGACCCTATTCCCCCCGCCCTTGGCAGAAGCAAACATTATAGGTAACAGGAGGTAAAAAAATGAATTACGTTCTATAAAAGCGGTTGTTTAATTCATACAGTCATGTGCTTCGGAAACGTCTGAGCTGTTCCAATTCAAAATATTTGCTGGAATATGACGTTTGTACCATTTGGAGTAATTACATTTCATGGGAGATTTGAGCTGTTCTGCTAATTCTGTTGTTTTCCAGCTTGCAGAGATCCTTCCTTTCCCAGAATCCTGCCAGTGCTCAAAAATGCCAAGAAACTGTCTGTGCAGTTGAAGTTTGACTGTTTGCACGGCCCAGTCTCTCTCTGTTTCATGGAGAATTTCCAAGATCTCCTCCCTTTTTATGTTGTTAGAAAAATACGGATCTTTTACTTTATCTAGTGGTGATTTTATACATACTTGCAGTAGGGCAATATACTAGGTAGTTCTTTAGAACAGGAGAATTCTTTTCAGCAATGCTTTTCTGGCCTCGAAGCAACAAATAGCTAAAAACAACGGTATCGTTTCTTACAGCGTCCTTGCCATCAGCTTTCAAAGGCATCAACTTTTTTTTTTTAAACTTCCGTGGTACAAAAATTATTTCAGCTCTTATTCCTACCTGGCAACAAATTCACTTACCAGTTGGTATCGCTGAGTATGGTCATAACCTCATCCATAATGTCAGGATCAACTACGTCACTGTAGGTTATCAACATTTCATAAACTTGACTGGCTGTCGTCTTCCGTATCTGCGGGGCAGAGGCAGAGGAAGCTTTAGTCAAGTAGCCAGAGTCCTGTATGGAAAAGCCCAGTGCTGTCACTGGGACCAGTTCCTCATGCTGGCAGTCATTTTATGGAGGACACTTTGCAATACTCGGCACTACACGCTGTTCTTGCCTCTGACAGCCATTTGCTGCAGGAAGGGGCTCATTTCTGCACCTCAAGGAAATTCATACTACTACAATTGGTGTATTTTCACTAAACTTTACCAGGTTTTCAGGTGAAGAATGCTACAGCTCTGTCCCTCACAGGGAATCAGTTCAAATGTCTGAGACTGGCCCAACTGGAACATTTGTTTTCTTGAAAAGACTCACTGAGCCAAAGTCTGGCTCTAACTTGGGTTGCCATAGACTCACAAAAGAGATTTCCCAGTCTGGAGATTGGCAGAGTGAGTCAGTCTCTTTTAAAAAAAAAAAAAAAAACCACACAAAAAACCAAAAAAAACCAACACACCACAAAAAAAAAAAAACCACTGTTGGGAGGTAGATGATGATGTGACTAACATGAGCTTTTTACACTCCAGTTTCCGGAAGCAGTTAATTTGCAAGTATTTTTCCCAGAGCACTGTTTCGTAGTGATGTTGGTGTGCATACAGAAAAAGCAAGCTAGGCTGGTTTCTGACGTACAATGTGTAGAAAGATACCAAATGGAAGACAGCAAAATTGCAACAAAACCAAATTCTGTTTTTTTCTCTCAAGAAAGTCTGATGATAATGAAAGGAAGGCAAAGAAATTGCAGGGTTATTTATTTCTGGGGTAGCAGTGCCAAATTAAATTGACCCATCTGTAAAAAATGAAGCATATTTATGATGTAAAATACCAATAAAACGTGAACTTGAAATGATCTCTCTTGAGTTCTTACACTGTGCCCTTCCTGCAAAGGATTCTTCATATAGCAAGTTCAAACAACATGGAAACAGTTGGAATAAAAATGTGAAGAAGTATCAAACTTCGCCGAGTACCCCATGATATTAACCTGGACAAAAAGTAATCAGCATTAGAATAAGGAACGTTGGTTTGCGTTGGCCAGACACCAGGCTACTCCAGGTGTTCTCAAACCACTTCACCACCTCATGGGTTGCACCTACCTCTGAGAGCCTTTGTTTCTCCGACACCACTCGACTATAGATGCAGCTTAATGGCTGCCTGTAGCAGCGGAGGTGCAACTCCTCACGCACTTTTACTCACAGGAACATCCACAGATGTTCCCACCAGGTGAAACCCTTGTATTGAACAGGGATGCCACAGGAGCTGTTGTACGTGTTTGGCTGTCACAGCACCTGGAAGTCGGGGCTCCCAGGTTTTGTACAGTGAAAAAAACAAAAAGAGAAAAAAAAAAATCCCCAAACCTTACTAAGTGACCAAAAATCTTAAAGGACTAAGATAATGTTATTCCACATACTCAGAAGTAATAACTCAGATTTTTTTGCCCCGTTTCAGTTAGTTATATGAAAAAGGTAAACGTCGGATAAACTTTCTGCATCGCACAAACTTTCGCCACACCTCACAAAAAGAACAAGCACATTTTTCTTGAACCAGAACCACTACTGTGTTGCTATATCAGAAATATTGCAAAACCAGCGGTAATTGATCTGAGTGGAGCTTTCAGGCACTAAATGGTGAACAGATCTTCACTGAGCAGGGTGCTGCATAAAAGAAACAAACAGCTTGGGTATCTAAATTGCCTCTAATTTCAAACAGTAAGGACGGAAGGTGGAAAAGCAGTATGTACATGGCACGGCCAGGTACGCTGCACCAGTACCCAGTAGCCTGTTTCAGGTGTCAGCATTGCAGACAGCAGACCCCGGAGAAATAAAACCTAATTCTATACATTAATATGTGTTAAAAAGAATGCTGTTCTAATGCACTTTACAAGTGAAAAATAAAGTATTTTAAATAATAGATTTGATAATATGCAATGTCTTCAATACTCACTATGGGAAATGGATGGCAAAGGAGGAGAAACAACTGAAAGAAAACTTTCTCTCTCATGTCTCCTTGAAATTGAATCAGGCCACAAAACCTAAGAAAAAAAGAGCTCCTGTGTTATAACTGCAAAAGTACATTTTGAGGATCAGAATAAAGATGTGTATCAGAAAAAAGGGTGGGGGGGAAGCTCTGCTGCCCCCAGGAAATGTCAGTTCTAAGTGCTGTGGGAAAGCAAACACGGAGGGTGAGCGTACCGACGTCCGTGAGGGTTATGGAGATGCCACACGTCTATGCCAAGTACAAATAAGGCTTTAAAGCTACTGACCGGCAGTACCAAAGTCTGCGCTAAAAACCAAACGTGAGTCGCGCTCTCACATAGACAGCAAAAGCACAGGGTAGGCTGTGCGGGTAGGGTGCGGTTCAGAGCGGAAGACAAATTAGAAACATGTGCGACGTCTCATTTTAGGCTTTCTTGCACTCTGAAAATACTATTACCAATAAAGAAATGAAAGTCAATAAAATCATTGCTTGACATCATTATAGCTGAGTAATTTTGCCAAGTTTCTGCCAATGAACTTTTGTTCAGCTTTGCAATGCTTTGTCTTTTTTTCCTCCTCTCCTAACCCAGTACTGTCCTTCCCGACTGCTACGGTTTTGGTTTGCCTTCTCTGCTCTCTGAACCCTAAAGCCAGACAGTAACGTTGCAGATGTTTTCAGCTCTTTCTGGGGCACACGCAAGATGTATCAATTACAGATATTTTGCATTGGCACCGAGTCGAGCTCCCTACAAGCAAAAAGCAAACGATTCACTGTATCTTCAAGAAGATAACAACGTTTTAAAAGTAGTTAAATTTTATCAGATCCTTCATATGTTTTCACCCCAACCACCCAGAAATACATGAAACTCTCACAACCTTATATTACAAGTATCTGTGTGCATTTTCCATTTAAATTTGACAGGAAATAGACCTAGCTGTTACATCTGGTAATTTTAATTTTCTTCACTTGATATGAGCAGTGAAAAGATTAATTTTTTTGATCAACTCACACTCCTATGCTGGAGCGAAGCTTCCGGATGTCTTTGGATCTTTTGATCTCTTCTTTACAAAGGGTAAATAACTTCACTGGAAAGGGATGGCTGAAAATGGGAAAGAAAAAAAAAAAAAAAGAGCAATAGATTTCAAACACATTTAATGATTGTAAAGATGCCAAATGAACATTCAAAGGAGAGGAAAGACACAACGCAGAGCAGTACGTGCCTCTTCCACAACAGCACACCCTGCTTTAGGTGGACCTTTGGTAAAGATGCGGACGAGTCTGGCCACCACATTTCTGGGTCTTTGATTTGGTGGGCTTTTTTTTGGTGTTGTTTTTGTTCTGTTTTGTTTTTTCTTTAACAGGGAAGGGAAGAAATCAATTATTTCCATTGCTACTACCTGTATGCTGAGGAGTGAACTACATTTATCCAAACTGATTCAGTATATGCATGGTAATTGGCTAACCATGGCTTGTGTTTACAACAAAGCGAGGTATGATCAGAAATACTATGTTCAGGAATTAAAATATTCTATAGCCGAAGAAAAATTATTTAGTCTATGTATCATCGTGGTGCCTTGGTTGTTCCCTAAGTTCTTCAACCAAACTTTACATAAAAGGGGATGAATGGTGTTCTTAAATACTCTACCATTTCACAGCCCAAATTCCTTTAGTCATTCCCGACAACGTAATTAAACACAGGGCTTACAGTTCTGTTAAGTATACGAGTCATGAAGCCATCTTTAAATATATTTAGCAAATTCTTTTCTTTTTCCACATAGTCTGGGAAACGTGATTCTCACAGCTCTTTCCCAGACACTCATACAAACACAAGTATTGTTAGTATATTTCAAGGATCTATTAAAGAAAAGTAAAGAGGGAATATTGCTTTTATTTCAGTACAAATCATTTAATCTTTTACTTGCTACACTCAAAGCTGAAGTGCCATAGATGCAAAAGAAACTATTTCGTATTTGTCTAGTAAGCACAATTACTTCTAGACTGCATATTTTGGAAACCTCACTGTATTGTGTATGTAAAGCAGAATGCAAAATAGTAACAGTTATTTTCTGCTACCAGGATTCAAAGCTGTGAATAAGAAGTACTCAAAAAAGCTGTGTAGTGTAGTCTGTTGAAAAACAGAACATTTAAAACCAGATGTTTATAGGAATGACAAGATGTTTTGTTAAGTTAATGCACCTTGTTATATAGAGTTTTCCAGACAAGAGTTAGTGTTTTTTAATTACTTTTAAAAAAAGTTCTTAACAAAATACTGGCATATACTAGCAAAAATTGACTTGGTTAAAAAAAAGCTGAACAACAAACCACGGAACCATTATGTTAAAAAATGCTGTCTACGGCTGTCTCAATATTGTACAGAAAAACCACACTAAAAGAGTAAATAAAATCACCAGGTTTTCAATGTTGATATTGAGGCTTCATAAGAAATTTTCAGAGGTGATAGTGGCTGTCAGGACCAAAGAGTCTGGGGGGGGAGCTGGTTTAAAATACCTCCACCAGATGCTAAAAGAGCAAGTTCCTTGGCACCCATTGCCTGCAGTCAGGCCGCACTCCTTCCACGTTTTAAGGAGTATGCTAAGGACGGAAAGCAGGCACGCAGGAGACACACGGTGAGAACGACGGAGATGGGCATGACTGAGGCTGGCTGGCTATGGACATGGATTTGGCCGGCTAGATGAGGACAGAGCCTACCTGCTCTCTGAAGAGGAGGTATGTTTTTTCTTACCTTGGTGAAATTTCTTCTCCTCCCACCCCCAGTTACACAAAGACATTGTGTGGACAAGGAATTACAATACCTGCAATGCATGCCTGGCTTTCAGCACAGAACAACGGCAATATAGTGAATTAGGTGAGATTTAAATTGGTTGAACAACAGGGACATCGCTGAGAGGTACAGCAACACAGAGACCAATTGGAACAAGAGCATCTGGAGTAAATTTAATACACGTAACCTTATGTGCAGCATTTTGTGTTTAAAACAGATGCACTTTCCTTTCTCTCATTTGCCAATTTCACATTTGTAATAACTAAACCTAACCTACGTGTGATCTCAAATGACTCAAATAGCTTGGCCTCTTTAAAGGAAATTGAGAAAATTCCTTCTCCTGTGTGGGCACAGTGCCAGCAGAAACAGAGTCGGCATCTGGGGAAAAGGGATCAGTCTGAAGTCTTTACATTATGTAAATTGGGCGCACGCGGTACTGCAAAAAGGTGCGTGCTTTTTCCTCCTAAAGGTGAACTCAGTTTCAGCAGTTCAGCTGACATCACCTGGGGTGGCCGTGAAACCAGAGGACAGCCACTGCCATGCTCTGCTCTTTGCTTTAAAAAAAATCCACGGGAGCATGTAATACATAGAAATCTTTAGTTGGAGATCACTGGGGACACATAGCATCTTAAAAACACTGTGAGGCGACCAGAAAAATATTATACATATGCAATACATGAACACTTCTGCTGAATATGTAAAATATATACACATAAGAAAGAGAAACCCCACTTTTACTGATGACTCGAGCAAGCATTAGGACCTGAATTGTCATTCTAAGGTGATTCTGTTCACACGGTACTGAGTATTAGACTAAGCTTACCCTGCTTTCTAAGGAAGGAGCAATCCATCTAGGCTCTCAGCAGACAGAGCATCTCTGGTGATCGTTCCCTCACGAGAGCAGCAGAATGACTCCTGCAGTTACAGGAGCCGTAACCAGAAAATAATGCTCCAGTGGCAGTTTTGCAAGTGGCTGCAGTTCACTCTCCTTTATTCTCCCTCTCCCGTGTCCCACTACCAGCAGGGAGCTGACAGTTACCACTACCTTTTAAGAGTAGCCACCGGTGAGTTTTAAAAAAGCCCAATATATGCTCTGCTTTATTGATGACAGCTCCATTTCAAGGATGTTGCCCTTTGCCTCCAGCAGTCTCTCTGATCAATTAACACTCCCTACATTACAATGAACATGGCTCCACAAAGTCACAATATAGACTGAGGTGAAATCGGGAGGTTTTGAGTTGTGCTAGAAGAAGAAACTGCATTTCAACTGGAAATGACCGTCCTGTTTGGGGTGAGAAAGCACACAGGGCAGGAAGGAAATGGCAGGTGAATGACGCTGCAGTTTCACCCACACTTTCGGCCGGTATACACCTGCATTGCTGCCAGAAGAAATGGTTTTCCCCTCTGCTTCCCTCCTTATTTTGGCATAATCTGTAAGCTCACAGCAGAACAGATTGAGGAACCACCTCAAGCTGAGTTTTACTGGGAGAAGGGTATTTTTAACCTGGAACAGTTCTCTAATGCCATTCATCATGTAGCAATACAAACCATTCCTGCCAGTTCAAGGCAGGGGAGAACCTCTCATGCTGGCCATGCAGGTTTATGCCAGCTTAAGACAAGTAGGAAGTAACAAGCCTGAAAAATGGCAGGCAGAGGTTTTCATGCTACAGATTCAAAGTAAGCCAAGGACAACAAAGAAAAGCTGCTTCTGATAGCCTTCTGATTCCCTTGGCGATACTAAAAGTTGATTCATTTCAAACCCCACTGGACAGGTATTTACCCTACACTTCGCCTCCCTGCTGGCAGGCTCAGCAGGGCCCTGGCAGAGAAATGACCCACGCATGACAAATAAATCTCACTTCAAACACAAGCATTCAAAATACAGTAAATGGAGGAGAAACACCCAGTGGTTCACTTGCCCTCCTGCACAGAGATCACAAGAGCAGCCACACAGAGAGCTTCACAAATGCGGAAATTCATCTACAAAACTACACCAGAAATGTCAAGCTGCATATTCTAAACTTTACGAGCTATATGGTGTGAAGAGGCAGGAAAATGCACAGCGGGTTACACCTCTGCGGGGCTGGAGTGACACCATGTGGCAATTTGCTTTAACTGGAGCACTGTGCTCCTAACCAGTGTCAAACTAATTCAGCCAACAGCTATTAATCCTGTTTAAATTAAGCAGTGTAAGATAATACCCACTCTGGACTGCTAATGTTTTATTAGCGGGGGGAAAAAAAAAAAAGAGGTCCAGGATAGTGCACAATATCCATTTGAAACTTCAAAATGCATTTGCAAATACTTTTTAATAATGTGACAGTTGACTATTAAGCGGCTGATGTAGGCATAATCCTGATGCCGGACATCCTACAACCGAAGTTCCCTTGCTAAAACTCCACTCGGCCCAATGTGGTAAAAAATGAGGGAAGGAGATGAAATGGGAGTCAAACACCCGAAGGAATGCTAATGTTTCATTCCCAGCTTCTCCAAAAAGTTTTTTCATTTGCTATACGACAAACAAGAAATTCACAGCAGAACAGAAGCAACAGGGAAGTTGCTCACCAGCCGTAAGACTGTCTGTTTTCTAAAAACAACCATGTGCCTCATCCCTCTCATTACAGGCACACTTTATATAAAACTATCTGAAACCGCACGCACACACGGCCTTTTCATGCCACCAAGTACAGCGTCTTAATTTTCGGGCTCATTCTGCACTGTACTTCTACATTTTTATGGCATGCTTCTTTGAAAAGGCAGTAAACCGTCCCACTCAAGAGACCAGGCCCTAAGTCACACTTTCCTTCTATGCAAAAAGGCGCAGGTGGCAGCCAACAGTGCGGGCGGGCGGGCAGGCCTCGGAGCCAGGATCAGTGTTCCTCCATCTCTAACTGTACCCAAACGACATTTGCCAAAGTGAGAAAATGCAAACATTGCATTAAATGTAATTTTGGGCTCACCCATCTGCCACATTCAGCTGGTCTGCACACAGGCTCTTAGAGCAGAGCAGGACCCGGTACCTCAGGCTCACTTGGCTCTCCGTGAAGTACACACAGTAACCGGTCAGTGATTACCTCTCGACCACAAGGTACTCATATTATCAAAAACTGACACATGAAGAACTAAATTGTCCGTCTCTATCTACCTATCTTCAAACTTTCTAGAGCTCTGGGCCTCCAGAGCTTTTGTATGGTAACGAGTTCTTGCATTTCATGCCAGTATTTCATTCCCTTGCCATGAGAATGATCCACTGGGCTGTATAATTATTACTTATCTTTTTTTGTTTCATCATCAAACTGGAAGCAAATACATCAGCTTCAAAATCTTTCCCCCCTTCCCCCATAATCCCCTGGATTTTATTTCAGGTCTTTTTAATAAAGCATTACAATGGCACCGCAGGATTGGGTTTGAGTCTCGCTTACACAGCAAATGCAGCGATGCTACCACATGCTTTCCGTTTAGTGACCCACGATGTGGGAGACAGACTTTACCTGGGATTTCCACCCATAAGCTATCATGTTCCCCAGCAGGGAAGACTGGAGCCTATGTGGAAGTCCCAGATCACTGGCATGATTACCAAACTGAACAAGTAATAGTTATTCCATCTATTTGACTCATTTTAAATTCCCATTCAAAAAGGGACCGCCAAATTTGATTTAAGAGAGATTATCTAAATATGCACTTCAAAACAAGAGCAGACTCAATTAAAACTTTTAGAGTGATAAAAGCTTTTCAAATTTATCTGCTGTGAGCAATTCTTGAATCAACAGATTCCAAATCCAGTATACATGCTCGTAGGATTCATGTTGTACAATTCTGCAAATATCTGTAGATGTGCCAAGATGCTGCCTGAGCGAGTTTGTGGAATATATTTTAATATTACTGAAACTGAAATCATTCTCTTCTGAAACATCTGCAAAAACCCAAGATTTCACACTGGAATATCTTATTCATGCTTATCCATTCCTGAACTAAATACTTTCCAAAAGACTGAACTTGGTGTGGAAAAGCTGATACATGCCTTTTTTATTATTCTTATTAGAATCTTAATTAACTTCTTTGGAGATATTCATATTAGCAAAAGCAGTAAGGTTTTGGAAGTGGTGGTTTGTAGGCACATTCTTTTGCAACATCACAACAGGACACTGCCATTGCTAAAGGCTCCCCATACAGTGAAGAATGTACTCCAAAAAGCATGTATTTAGGAAGCCAGGAAAGCAAAGAAGCTAAATAGATCTGATACTGGCCCAAGTCTGCCAGGTGAAACAGGCAAACTGAACTTGCTTAACATACTGGTTGTTAAACAATGAACCAATGACCAACTTCTACACTGATAGCAGAGTCGAAGATTTTATCAACACCCTTTCAAGGCTATCTAGTCCAGAATGTGTCACAGCTGTCCCACCTGAGGAAACTTAAAACATTCGGTCCATATACACTCACACTTAAAGCCTTCTGCACCCACATCTAGAGCAATATTCAGCAGCAGTCAGTGTGAGATTTAAAAGGCTTGTTGCATGGTGGAAAACAAACAAAAAAGACTTTCAGCAACTTACTTCTCTTGCATGGTAAATACATCAAAACAGCCGTTTGCCAGCATTTGGTCCAGCATTGTCAGGAGAGGTACAGACACTCTGATGAAAGAAAATAATTTAACAATGTAAATATACTTCTTGGCATACACATATACACTATTTTTAATTAGAAGCAAAGAAAGAGATTTCCTATCTACCTACACATATTTAAATTAGAACTCTATTTTACAAAGAGTAGGGTTGCTCGGTAACTTCTGTGTGTTGGCTAAATCATCCTTGTTGGCTGAGAGGGGGACATTCCATTACAGCCAAAAGGGAAAAAACCTAATTAACAACATGCCTGGTTTAAACTTGTAGGGTCCCGAAAACACAATTAACAGTAGTAGAAAATATTAATTTATTTTCTAGTATATAAACAACATATTCCACAAAAAGGTATCAGAAGTTACAACAGCTTCTCACTACAGGTAATTAGCAGATGAACCAACACACAATGTGTCAGCTGGAATAACTATGGTCATGTTTTCTATTTCATCAGCTGAGACAAGAAACAAAAGTAAAGTAAAACTGAAAATTCCATTAACAGTTGTGAGTTTTTTCCTGTAAGGAATATTTTCTATTTTGCAGATGTTTGGTAAGTGAGGCTTAGAGAAATTAATCTTATTATACAGAATGAGTCACCTTTAAAGAAAAATCTTCACAAGAAAATTATACTACGTCCAAGTATTTGTGAAAAAACACTACCTAAATGAAATGCAGGCTGGACTACACCAAAAAGTGTGCAGCAATATACAACCCGATATTGCATTATACAAAACCTGGTGTTTATCACATTATGCACAATATTAAACTATAGTAAATGCAAAATATTCCACCATCACTCCTTTGTTACACATTTGACCAAAGGTACAGGTGTACCAAAAAGCAAATTTACATGGCTTAGGCATACTTGCATTAGTCATGTTAAAAAACGTGCCATATATCTGACTTGAAATAGTCCTGCTGTTAAAGATAAAAAAGCAAAAGAAAAACATTACCGGTCATTCCGCAGGTTGTCCTCAAAGACCTTTAGCAACGTCTCACAAAAACTCTCCATAGCACTGGAATCATTCTGGATTTTCTTCATGTAGTCAAAAAGGCTCTGGGCAGAGTATCTGAGCTACAACAGAAGCAACCTCAAATGAAGGCCGAGGGAATAAACAAACCCCGCTGCAACACACAAAACCACCAACTACACAGAATTACGCTTATCCCTCTCTACCTGAGGTATACACCTGCACTATGAACACACCGTTCCAACAGCAGCCGAGTGTATAAATCCAGTAACAATATTTGACAGGAAGATGGCTATTTTACTTTCAGTAATCCTTTTTCAAGGAAGGTTTTTTTTCCTTTTTAAGTTTTGTGACTGTAGGAAAAAAGACCACATTAAAGGTTCATTATTTTCCTTCTCTCAAAATAAAACATCCCCAAACCGCTATGATTATCCTGCTTTACTTCAAATAATAATATTGTTATGGCTCTGAAAGTTAAAGAGCACACAAGAAGTTCAAGAGGTAATATTTATTAAACAAGCTGATGTAACTGAAAAATGTAGGCAAGCTCTTGGGCACATGGTGCAGGCCACACAAACCAGCAGTAAGCCTGGGTTAAAAATTCAAAACAACTCAGAAATAATGACTCTTGGTTTAACTTTACGATGTTAATCAGCTAGTTTAGAAAGATGGCAGAAGGCAGTTGTAGCGCTTCTGTTCAAGGCTCAGCTGGAAGCAGTCCATTTGGGTCACGCCAGCTGTGAAACATCCCCGGCTACAGCCTTCCCTCCACAGCTTCCCGCTGTTGCGGTCCTGCTCTCCGGGAGCCACAGCGCTCGGGAGCCGAACCCAGGCTGGCTTCTCCTCTCCGGACCTGCTGTGTGGCAGGGGAGAAGGCAGAGTCTCTGCGGGATCCGTGCCCCCAAGCAGCAGGACAAGGACCGCAACAGGCTGTATGAACATCGCTACTAATGCTAAGGTTTCCCATTTCTGGGAGAGGTAGGAATTTTAGTTTCCAGGCTCATCTTTTAAAACATTAACTGACTTCCCATGAGGAAGAGAAGAAAAATTTGGGGTTTTCTGTTACAGAAACTACCTCAAAGGAAAATATCTCATCAAGGATAAACATAATCTGAATTTCTGAATTTTCCTGACTCTGATGGGAAGGATTCTGAGTCCTTCTGGGGCTTGGTCAAGTCACTTAGGGAAGGGCGGTGGTGGTTAGGGGGTGTCCCCCTGTCAGAAACTGGCTTCAACAATGAAGGGGGCTGTGGGAAGAGCAGGTGGGGCAGATCAGTTTTCAAGTACGAACTTCTTTCAGTTTTGATTGCAAGTGTTAAATAATTTTCTGTTGAGTCAAGAAGGGGCTGTGAGCAATCAGTAAGCCTATTCAGTCAGTGGGGATTTTCCTTCTGAAGCTCACACATAGCATTTCGATAGCTCATTCCAAGGTGCAATCAGTTCCCTCAGAAGATTGACCCTTTTATCAACAAAAGAAAAAAATAATTAGATCAGTATGGTAAAAGTGTCTTCCTGAAAGCAAAAGAGAGGAACATCTATTTAAACATTTTATCTAATTTAAATTTTATAGCAGTAACATTTATGGGTGCATCAGCACAGAAGAACAAGAAACATTTCAGCCTTGAATCAAAACTCTGAACTGGTTTTCAAAAGCTTTAGCCTACTTGTAAACAACACGGCACAGCAATCCACACTACCTGGAAAGTACCACGGTCTGCTATTTATAACAATTTGTTCTATAGTGAAACATCCTGGGCAACACAGAAGCAGAAATATTTCTTTAAAAAGGTCAAGCAATTTAAAGAAATTATTCAGTTATTCTGCATTTCAAAATTACAGTCAAATCTCAGTAAAAGTTGTTTAAATATTTGTAAAAGCTACACTAAACTGAAATACTGAACTGAACTGAGTGTGCTTCTTTCATATGCCAAAAGTAGTGTCGGTACGTTCCCTGTATGCCGAGTATAAAGTGTATCCTTACAATGAAAGGTCTTTGCAGGATACACAATTGTAAGGAAGAGAGATTTCCTGAAAATTTTAAACCTACTTAATGATGTATGCTACCCTTTGAAACAACTTGTGCATTTAAGACCATTAACAAATAAAGAAGAAATATTTTGTCTTACTACCTTACACTAGCAGAGATCAATTATAAGCAGAAGAAAGGTTACCTCCGAGTTCAGTCTCAGGAAAAGATCTTAAAACATGTATGGTTAACCATGTAATTTTCTCTCCTATTTCTTTTGTCTTTTAAACGATCTCACAGATCTTGCACCTATTTTTGAAGAATGCTTAATTACTCGATGCTTTTCCTGCAGATTCAAATGACTGAAAAGGCAGGAATGGGCACAAAAGAGAAGAGTAGGCATAGCTACACATAGCATGTTCCAAAGCTGTGCAAAACCAGGACAGAGTAGCGGGATAATCAGAAAAACTGTATAATGAAGACAGCATTACTTCATTAGCAAGTAATTAAACAATACAAAAGTACAGGTGTGGATAAACCATCACATAACTGCTTGGGAGACTTAAAAATGGGACATTTTCCAAATAGTCAGCATAGACCATATGAACTTTAGTGGAAGAAACTCCAACATAACAAGATAACATTACATAAACAGGTTAAATCCGTATTTCCTTCTCAGGTGAACACTCCTCTTTTCCCAGATAACCTATGAGGGCAATATCTAAGCTATAACCTTAACTCCTCAGGAGTATTTGCAGAGAAAAGAATTTCCAAATTTCTTCTTCATCTATGCAAAACACAGAATTCACACTACCTCAAATGTGTGACATTTACCTTTCCCTGGGGTTCCATGAGGACTGGGAAAGGAAATTAGGAGGTTAATGGGTTGGAACTGGGACAACTTTGGGTAAGAATTTAAGAGGAGGCCTGAGAATGACCTTGTCGTTATTAAACATAGTAAAAACAGTTTGCCAAGGCTTGACTCTCCCATCATTTAAGCCAATAGTAGGTACTTCAGTGATAGGCAATACATGACAAGGTGAACAGTGTTCAAAGGGACTATTCATCTGATGATAAAATTAAAGTCCTAAGGATTTTACCATCTGAATCAGGGGAAAAGTATGAGGAAGTGTAGCTACAGCAAGGGGATAAGGCAATTACAGCTCTGGATAGGTGCGTGGCATATAAATAAGGTGTCTACATAAACCTTCATGAAATTGTTTCCTACTCAGCTTGTTGCAAAACTGAAGTGTAATACTTCTAAAGACAGTCTCGAGGCAGCAAGTGGGACTGATACGGCCCAAAGAAAATCAGCTTAGGCATCCAGTCTGTAACAGAGCATTCAAAATCTCAGCTACCCATCAGCTATAAAGATGGCCAATCCACGTAACAGCTCTGATTCTTACTTTGCAGTACTATGTGGGAGAGACCTGACAAAAAAAGCCAGTGGGGCATGATGAGAAAGGAAGAGCCTGTACTGAAGACGTTCAGTAGACTGACATACCCTAATGGTCGTCAGTCTCCCATCTAACCAGTCTCATGGAGACCCAGCTATCTTAACAAAATTCAGTCTTCTGCACCTAATGCACTACAAATGGAAGTCAAGTGAGTAACTACTGGGAACGCCTGAACAAAATGCGATGTACAGATAATCGCTAAAGGCTCCAGTTTTCACAGAAGCATTTCAATAGAGCAAGACCTACTCACAGAGTCAGAAGACTCCTGTAACACGTGCAGAAGAAACCGTGTTACGCTCAATAAACAACACTGGTTTTGGATCATTTCTAATCCCGACAAATTTACAGTACTGAAGAGGCAGTAGCCTACTTTCCCAGTAACTTTAGAAAAAATTGCGTATCATTTAAATTTTAGCACAAGTGAAACCATGTCTCCCTTGTTTTACCTGCAACACTCCTTTTAATAAATCAAATCTTCGGAGGCCAGTAACTCTAAGACTCAAGTCAGTGACATTTTACAAGAAGTAGGAATATCATAAATTACACAGTTTTTTTCTTTAAAAAAAGAATGCCAGAATAAAGTGTATTTTGCTCAACAACTGTCAACCAAGAAAACCAGATTTAGGGCCTGTTCCTTCAAATCAAATATGCATTAATTTGCATACAATTTGTCACAGTAACCAGATGTTTTAGAACATCATCTACAAATGTCCCAACATTTTAATTTGTAAGAACTAACTCAGCCGTTCAAAGCCCAGTATTTGCTCAAAATAGTACATAAACAGTCATAAACATCACTGGCAAAAAATCAGTCCATTTTGAGGAAAGTAAAACATAAACTGTATAATGTATTTGGCACATATCACAGAATCATCAGGGTTGGAAGGGACCTCTGGAGATCACCCAGTCCAACCCCCTGCCAAAGCAGGGTCACCTACAGCAGTTGCACAGGATCGCGTCCAGGCAGGTTCTGAGTATCTCCAGAGGAGACTCCACACCCTCTCTGGGCAGCCTGTGCCAGCGCTCTGCCACCCTCAAAGTACAGAAGTTCTTCCTCATGTTCAGATGGAACTTTCTGTGTTTCAGTCTGTGCCCGAAGCCCCTTAAGCTGTCGCTGAGCACCACTGAAAAGACTCTGGCCCCGTCCCCTTGACACCCACCCTTAAGGTATTCCTAAGCATTGACAAGATCCCCTCTCAGTCTGCTCTTCTCCAGGCTGAACAGACTCAGTTCCCTCAGCCTTTCCTCATCAGGGAGATGCTCCAGTCCCCTCATCGTCTTCATTGCCCTCCCCTGGACTCTCTGCAGTAGTTCCTTGTCTGTCTTGAACTCGGGAGCCCAGAACTGGACACAGTAACATATATAATGTTGACATCCATATGTCACAGACATGCTTTAATTTTTGTCAGGTGCTTTACCATACATATGCATTCATTGGATAGTTTTGGAACTGGCTACTCCAATTGTTACAGGTCTTTGGCATCTCATGTTGGAACCCTGGTACTGGGCTGGGAGAAAACTTTTAATTTTCAAAATAGGTTGCTGCCTTTTTTTTTCTTTCCCTTTTTACTTAAAATTTCTATAAGATTTTAAAAAGTAATTTTCACTCTTTATGGGGGGAGGAGAATCACAGGACATTGTTTGTGCTTTAACAAAATTTTAAATGTAGTGTAGTTCAACAATAATGAAATTATATCAAAATTATACCCTGACCCCTGAAACTACAGGGTTTGTGAACTGGAGAAAGAACACCATTGTATAGTTCTGATCTCCATATACTGAGAAGATTTTTTATGCAGCCATAAGAAATATGCATCATTGTGGGCCAGATATATTATTAGAAGATTCTTTTACACAGAGAAAGTGCCCTTTGAACCAAGGCAATGTAGCAGAATGCCAAATCCCAAAGGGAATGACATCTTCTGTTTTTCCAGATTACTTCAAATGCTTGGGCTACAATTCTTTCAGCAACCATGCTGCCACGAAAATGTTTCCGAGATACCCCACACAGCTCATTTCAGAAAATCTCTTTAAGAAGCAAAACAAAGAACTACTCTTGCTAAATATATTGCAGAGCAATTTTAACTATGGAAAAACAGCCACTGACCACTGAATTACAATGGAGCCTTTCTCCTACTCATTCCCCAAGATGACTTAAAGACAAATCGACATTTAAACTCAGATTAGCTTGCAGTATACGAGAATCTTCTAGCTTCTATGTCCACATGAATATGTGCATATATATTTTTTAAGTGAGAGAGGGAAGAAAGGAGACATTGCAAGAACACACACAGGTTACTGCAAGAACATATATTTGACAATCCTTTTCCTTTATCCAAGATTTAAAAAATCTGCTTCTTCATACGGATTTAACAGGAACAGTTCTTTAAATTTTCTATTAATGTTTTAAATCAGTCCCTGGATATTCAAGCAAAGAACACTACAGGCTTTGATAGAATAGCTTGAAACACAAGTCATTATAAGACACATCAATTCTAATTTATATATCACATTTTAAATATTAAATGCAATTCACCACACACTGTATAATCCCAACTGTAAGTACTCTATACTTCGGGCCTCCCTTGCACTTCTATCTGGCTCGAAAGAGAATTAGGTCATCTTCTTTCTAAAGTCAAAGCCGTCGAGAATATTTTAACAGGAAGAAGCCTTTAGTGTTAAAGAAAAATGCAGGGTCACAGAAAGTTAACATTTCAAAATCATATTTTGAAAACAGTACAGAAGGTTTCCCTTAAATATACTGGCAGATGGTAACAAGGGATGGGAGCTGGAAGTAACTGAACTGTTTACACTCTTGAAAACCAAGCACAACCAGAACTTAAAAAAAAAAAAAAAAAAAAAAGATATTAAAACATTGAATAAGAATTTTCCCTTGACCTTGTTAGCAGTCAGAATGTCTGTTTCTCCACAACTTTCATCCCTTTTTATACTTACACAAATAACTTTGGTTTTGGTGGAGCCTCCTATAATTAACTGTGTTTTGACTAAAAGCTGAATTTCATGTGCATGTCTGCTATTAAACAAATCTGTTAAGAGTTACATTGTCTATCCAATAATTATTGTCACAGACCAATAAGCATATGTTTTCAAAGTTTTAAAATAGCCGTTGCTATACAATTAGATGCCATTTTAGAAACATTAAAATTCTCAAAATTGTTTAAAATACATAAGACTGCACAGACACCAAATTCTCAGCTACATGAAACCCAAAGGCATATGGACATCTCTTGATCACAAGCACAGAACCCACGGCACCAGGCAAAAACCATCACTTGGGCATATTCTGAACAGCTCATAAGACTGAAAAGTGGAAGCCATGGGAGACAGGCTCGAAATTATTACCTCCTTCCTTCTGTGAACCCAGCAGGAGCTGTTCTCTCTCCACAAAAAATGTGTCTCCCAACACTTATCACTTTTCTACCAGCTTTCTTAATTAGAGATGGCAATCTTAATTAGAAACACTCTTAAACACTGTTGGAGTGCTGACTCATGACCTCCTCCTCCTGTTACAGGACCACTGCAATTTAAAGATTTAACTGACAGTCCAGAATATTGTGTTACTGCTCTGATATTTCTCTGTAGTGTCATATCGAGCCACGTCCTTACCCTAGTAGTTGTTTTCATATATGTTACATCTTTGGCTACATCAAATAACAAAAAAGTTAGAAGCCAAATATCTTGAAACCAAGAATTCTGAAACTAGCAACACAAGCTGTAATACAAGGACAGGAAGATACATTACAATTATAATAAAGTCTGGACGATTTTGGCAGCATAACAGACTACCAAAACCAGTGATAAAGACACTGTTCATGCACAGAAGAATGAAATAGAGATTGCAAAGCTCAGAGGATTCAGACAGACATTTGAATGATATTTCTTTGTAATGAAACTTCTGGTATCTCTCTGGTACTTTTGTAGAAAGCGTATCAAAATTAAAAAAAAAAAATCTGAGCATACTGTTAACACACATTGACAACTAACAGTTAACACTTTGCATCAGGTTACAAATAAAAACAGGCATTTGCCTCAATTAAAAAGAGCAATCACCTTGCATTTAGCTGAACAGCTCTTCCTCTGTTAACAGCTTGGAAGGGTGAGCAAATAAACCAAGAGTTGACTGAGCTAACAGGCTGGAACTCTCAGGTTTAACCAGGCCAGGAAACAAGAAACAAAGTGTCCTTACTCCTGGTTCCCTGCATGCTCAGTAAGTCAAGAAAATAATACTTTTAAAGATGAAAAATATAAAGCCCATAAGTTTTAAAAGTATGACTTGATTTCTTTTAAAAATCTCACACATGAAATTCTCACAGAAATAACTATCTGCAATATCCACTGTAATAAACTAAACACTTTAGTCAACAATTTTGTCAGTGTATTCTCCTACCAAACAGGAAAGCCACTCTGCTTTCTTACCGTTGTCTCTGTTAATCCACCAACAGACACTGAGAGACCCGAAAGCACATAGTATTGGTACGTTGGCAAATGCAAAAGCTGGGTGATTCGAGGGAAAGCTTCTGACGCAGCATTCCAGTTTAGAGTCTCTTTCTCTGACCTGGGGAAAGGGGAAGGGAAAAAAAAAAATCTTGGATGTGTGCACTGCCTTTCCTCTCCATACATTCCTATGATAGCTCCTCATCCTCAAGCACCATGTCAGTGAAAAGTCTCTGAATTACCTAAAAATCTTAAATCAATCATTGGTCTTCAAGCATATGGGTAAAATAGAAATCAAAACTTCAGCTGCTGCCAGTAAAGTCAAGCTATCTTCAAGTCCTGATTCAGGTAAAGGATTTGAACCACTGTTTCCTTTTCACATGCACTTTTCTCTACACCAAGAAAAGTTCTCTTTCTTGCATTCCATTCTGAGTTCTCTCCCACCAACTGCTAGTCAACAACTGATACAAAGATAGGCTTATCCCAGGAAAGGCTGACACACATACACCCCACCACAGATCAATCAGCAGCCTAGCAGACAGAGCACTTTTTGAGTTACAGGAGGTTGAGATTCTGCTGAACAAACAGAATGGGGACACAAAGTTGGATGTGCCTCATCCCAGTCAGGTATTATAATCACCATTCAGGAATGGGTTGCTCTCACTCTTGCTTTAACTAGAAATTCCATCTTAGAGAACTACTGCAACTACGGTTTAGTTAAAATAATACAATCCATTAAAAATTAACATTATGATCAATCAATGTTTTCCAGTCGGGGAAAAAAAAAATTCAGGAAGGGCAACTGTCAGTAAATTCCACCTCTCACATTATGAAAAGAAAGTGAGATTATAAACCAGATATTTCATAAACAGCAGCATTACCAAAACACAGCTCCCAGCAGTTCTCTTTTACCAATGGTCTCCCATCTACTACTGACATGATCTTTACCATCCACCACAAAATTGGCTGATGGGTTCAGGAATTATTGGGGCTGATCCAGAGAAAGACTTATACATCATAACCATGTAAGACTTATCACCTTAGGAAACTATGGTTTTAACAGGAACTCATAGTATGAGTTCTTCGTTTGAATATTTTATATGTTTATGCATATTCATTAGACACTTCGATGAAATTCTGACAAACAGCACCAAATAGTCCTCCATACATGTATTAGGCATTTGAGCATAAAAATTACATCAGGTTGCTTGTGTTAGGTGTAACTGTGTGCATGTATCTTTTACTTACATTAGTTTAGGATATGTTTTTAAGTATATTACCTTGGAAATATCCTCTCTAGCTCTTCTCGATGAGGTATGTGCGGAACTGGAGGGTGGTCAAAATGTAAGAGAGTAAGGAACACAGATCCTGCATGAGCTCGAAATTTATCTATTTTTTCAGCCGACTGTTGAGCCAGCCAGCACATGATCTGTTTGCAGCTACAAAGAAGAAAATAATTAATTACATAATTTAATCCATAGAATGTGTATTTAAATTTAAATTGTTTCAAAGATATAAAAAATATCCTGCTATGAAAGTATTCTGATTTAACTCTTCATAATGAACGTACAAGTGATTTAAGACATCAGCATGGTGACACAATCTTTAAAGCTTTATCCTCCATAGAGCAATCAAAAAACATCATGACATTAATATTACACAGTATTTGATATTTGCATATCATCTTTCATCCAAAAAGACAGGAAGGTGCTTTATGGTTTGGATGAACTGCTACATTTCAGATGAAAATGGAGCAGGAACCTTAAGAAAAGCACATTTGCAAGTAGAAAATGGCACACATAGCAGAGGACAAGGTCTATCCCAAATCTCATATATCCCAAATTAATCACTTCTTCACCTCTGGCTAGTTTTTAACAATATCCTGTTTTGCCTACATTCATAACTAAACTCTCAGCTACAATATTGTGTTCCACAAGGCCCTTTACGGTTTCAGAAAGGACAAATAATGATAGTAAAACCAGCTAGAATTCCTTCAGTTACAGCAAGACTCAGAATATTTAGAAAATGTGATCCAGCTAAAAGGAATGCTTTTCTAAGTTTCATGTGAATCATCTATGTCTGCAACAGACCAATAGGAAGAAGCTTCTGGAAAACAGGCATTGGTTGAGTAGTGTGGTCCTACAGAATCTGGTATTTTTCTTCAAAGTATCCTTCAAAGTTTGGGGGGTTTTTAAATTAAAAAAGAAATCATGTATATATTCAGCTAACCATTGGGCATGTTCTGTACATAAACACTGTTATTAGGAAAGTTTTGTTGCAGCTCAAGCTATGCTTAAAAACTGGTATTTATTTTTTTTTTTAACTATCAGGCCTATTGCATCATGAAATTAAAAATCAGAAGCTCAGTGTAAATTATCTTTTTCTGTATTTCCTTACTAATAATTCTGCAAAGAGAGAAATGAATACAAACTCATCTCCACGCTTTATCACATTCCAAATTAATGAAGCAATGCTCTGGATAAGCAGGCAAGTTTGCTTTCTATTTAAGTGAACAATACTGGCAAGCTCCACACAGGCAGCAAGTATAGACCAAATCTCACAGATGCATGGTATTTCAAAGGTGGGACTGCCACACAGTTTCTCGCGGTAAGGTTAGTCCCTCTGAAGAACAGGTACAATATTCTCAGCATCTATATGGGTGTAGGCTTGATGCACTTCTGACAAAAGTTCTATCACACTCAGTAAAGGAATAAGTATACAATAAACAAGCAATGCTTTCTCATATGGACTGAAATGTAGCTATAAGAGGTAAGACACAAAACCAGTACAAGTAGCATACATGTTGGCATTAATTAACTCCGCTTTGTTCTGAACCAGCAGAAGCGTCACTTCCATTAGACTTGTCATAGCAGCTTCACGTACCCTGTTGAAACAGAGTAGTAGAGTAGTTACATTAGAATTTATTTAAATAAATACATTGGCAGTTAGACACTGGCAAAAAATTCAAAATAATGAAAGCGTTGACCACTGAGAGCAGCTATCATATTTTTGGGAGGAAGAGGAGTGTGTACAGCTGTACCCCCAAACCCCATTCTGTGAAGTGAAGCCCACACTGCACTGAGGGTACAGCAGTCACTGTAGTTTCCAGGCAAGCCCCTTACCTCACCATCTTTATTTTTTATTCCAGCCAGATGTTGCCAGGTTTATTCTTTATTTTAAGAAGGTTAAAATTGATACTGATTAGTAATATTTGGTGTGCAAGTAGATGTATTTAAACCTGTGCTTTGTCTGCTTCAAATCATCTTCTAAAAAGGCCAACGCATATTTTGACATTAAGATATTTAAGCACTGTTGAAAGTGTCATATTCTTGTAAATTTTAAAGCTTAATATTTCCAACATTAAAAAAAATTGTGACTCAGAATGACTTAAATCTCTATGCTACATAATAATCAGTTTTATGAAAAAGATTAGCTAAAGTAACACTAAGCTGTGCTTGAAGCGCATCTTATCTAATTAGTGAAGATTTTCTGCCTTCAAAATATCAATATAAAAAAAGATGAAGAGTGTAATTTCAATTTAAAAAAGATTAATACACTTGTTTTAAACCACGTGCCTTGTCAATACATGAGTTGTCAAAAGTAGTTTCTTTCTTAAGACATAGGCAATACCATGGCAGATCCTCAATTGGTTACACGATCCTGCAGAGGACCAGGACCAACATGTTCATCACATTAGTCACTCATGGTAATGTCATTCTTTCTCAGTAATAATTAAAAAAAAAAAAAATTAAATATTTGAAAAGGTACACCTGCTTAGTGTGAAAAGAAACACTCCTGTTTCTAATTTCCAAAACCAGCTGAAAATAGTTGCCTATGTAATCTAAAACTGGGTGGGACATTTGTTATAATGGTAAAAAAGGTAAATTACATCATTTTTTCCTAAGTAGCTTAATACAAGTTTGGCAATCTTTCATCAAAGTGTGTTTTCCTAGTTTTTCATATAGTATCTAACTATTAGATATTCATGTCTAACACCTGTAGACAGACTGGACAAGTCCCAGCAAAAAAATCTGTCAAAAGAAATGTAAAGTTTGCATACGGAAAGTAAAGTTGGTTAAACTTTCCCACGATTTCATTAAAGACAGACAAAAATTACACACCAAAGAGAAGGTCTCTCCAGAGAAATGGCAATTCTCCCCATATCTTTCCATCTTAGTCAATGGTTTAGAAGAAACAGATTGAGAAATCATATCTGAGAGGCCACAAAAATACTTGGCAGCCAACAGTTTGCTATGGAAAGGATTACCCTTCCCCCTTTAATTTACATGTTTCTTGACTTGATTTTGGCTGGCATTGCCAAAGAAACTTAAAAAGAATCTCGTGCTTAAAGCACATTTGAATTTTAATGGATGTTGAGAATTTAATTTCCTCGGTACTTCTTTGAATATTTCCATTTTGTAGAGTTTTGTTTTGTTTTTAAATTAAGACACAGACAGAAGGATAAACAATTGGTACGGGGAACTTAAGTGAGAGCTGTCAGATGTGGAAGTTAACTCGAATACACAATTATACTTCAACAGGTTCTCATCTACTTCAGTATCTCGCCTAATTTTGAAAGCAAAAAGCTTAACATCTCTTCACTTTCTGACTCCCTACCCTATATCATTGCTCTTACATTTTCTTTCAGCTACACCCGTCTCTCTCTCGCGTTACTATCTTCTCTGAGCGAGAGACTCATTCACCTCCATCTTCCTTCTTTGACGGCTGAAGGAGGAGGAAAGGGAAAACCAAGCTCCCGCTTCCCTTGTGCAACCTGGAATGACCTGCTCTTGATCCTTACCAGTTTGCATCCTAGTTTCCTCTTCTAAGTTTGCAATGTCAAACACGCCTACTTTTCTCTGATTTCTTGTCCTGTGTTATTATTTCCCTGTCATATGACAATTTTAACAACCAGTACTGAAGGCTGGGGAGATGGTTATCATTATACAAAACAAGAAAAATACAAACACACAAATATTAACTCAGGCTGATAAGAGCGGTCTGGATTATTTGCCCTGTGTACTTTTCCAACACATTTGTAAATATTGTAGTGAAGTACCCTAAAGGAACAAGGTTAGTCAATTTAAAAAGTACCCAATACTAACATGGCACAAGATATTTTTCTTCTCCTCTGTGCTGTAGAACTTACGCTTCTCTTTTTGTTCAAAGACAGAGTACTTACAAATAACTATTGCAACTCGCGCTGGAACTGATGAGATCTCAGTGACTGATGACGACTCAGCAGAGCAAAAGCATTGAAGTTTGACAGCAGTATAAACTACCCAATGATTGCTGGCTATGAAAAACTCTAGCATGATACATATTGCACAAAAAAAGCACAATCACAACTTTCCTTCCTACATAATACAATAGTGGGTCATAGGGTGTGTTAATAGTAGCTCCCATTCGTCATATTAATTACAAATGTACTTTACAGCACCTGCCCCTAATAACCAATCCCAAAGAGGAGAATGCCACTGTAATTTTTTCCTTGTTTTAAAGCAAACCTGGGGCTACAAATGGAATAACGACACTAAAGTCAAGAGCGAGTAGGACAGAATTCTAAACCAGATATAAGCAGAAATTTGAGCCTAAACAAGAAGTTCCCAAACTCACACAATGCATGCTTGGCATCATGTATTATTATACCGGATTTGAACAGGGATCAGCACGCTATGCATGGCTGCTGAAGCTGAATACAGCCAATCCTCCAGAACTGGAGCAACCCATTGTAGCCTTCCCAAGTCAGCAATTACCATATCACAGGTCTCAACCATCATCTGTGAGCTCTGCCAGCTTTGCTATAGCCACAACATACCCAGTTTGGAGCCTTTCATTTCAGTAGTCCTCTATCCCTCCTCACCTGTTGAGTCTCAGCTCTCAGTTACAATATAGTAGATGCCACTCAATTAAATTAAAAGGAAATTATGTTTCATGTTCGTATACTACTGTTGAAAACACCCTTCAAAGAAGAGGATAGTGACTGAAAAAAAATGTCTAAAACAGTTATTTCATACAAATGCTCTGAAAGGATATGACTGAAACTAAACACCAAACCCCTTCATGTGACTCAGCACTGTTAGACAAGGGCTTCTTCAATAAACTGGGAAAATAAGGAAATCTTTTCAATCAACAAAATTATTTCATACCAGTACTTTTCAGGCACTCTCTATTTCCTGCCTGGAATGTAATAAAAGCATAGCCAGATACCAGATCTGAACAATCAACAGGTTGTTAATTTACAATCCTGAACGCGCATCTCTCTACCCTGAGATGCTTCATATAGTTGCCAGACAAGTCAAATATATATTACCACATCATTACCATACAAACACTATTATCCATACTGTCAAACAGGGCTGATACTTTATGTATAGAATCGTATCTAAAAGCAACATATATCTGCATATTTTCAAATTAAAACTATGGATTAAGACAATAAATCAATTTCCAACAACAAACTGACCACTAAAACTAATTTATCACTTATGTTTACTTGGTTTATGGCTTCTCTATACAAGGATTAAGTGTTACGTCTCTGAGACTTCTACAAAGCATCAAAATTGTCATATATTTTAAATCTCTAGATACTAGATTTATTCCTGAATGCTGATAATTTAATACTTTTTATCAACAAGTACTATTTCAGGCTAGGCATATTTGTGCTCATAAATGATTTAATTATTCTTGCAATCTCATAGCTGAAATCACTGAAACCCTAAACTTACAAAAGAGTCAGTAATATCACAGCACAGCTGATAAAGTTTTTACCCCTGTCAGTCAGGCACCAGCCTTGACAAGTTGTCGCTAACACGTTATGCAACTGCTCCCTCTCCTGGCGAAAAATCCCCACAACACGAACATACAACACGAGAGTTCACCAAGTAGGAATAAATGTGTTATTTCAAAGAAACAGAAGTAATGTTTTAAGTCTCTGCACCTTTTACACCTAAATACATTCCTGATATTCACTAAAAGAAAATAATGTCATCCACAAAACCAGAATAAGGCTGAACTTCAGTTTAAAACGCAATAGTCCCCATCTTCCTAACTTCTCAGGCAAGGGTCAAACAAATTCTTGTCAGCCTTTCCTTTGAATTTCTACATCTCTTCCCCCAGTGTATTTCTACCTACACTCAAATCTCCAAAAGCCTGCAGCTATCTATTTCTAACAGGTTTTCAAAAGACATAACTTTTTAATTAGACATCAAACATCACAGCTGAGTTTAAGTCTCATTTTTTAAGGCACCTTACCATCCTCCAACATCTCCTCGGCTGTCTGTAGTGTAGTCAGTCACACCACTAAGTAGCGTAGCATAAATCTGAGTAACGTTATCTTTGCAGACATATTCTTCCTGAGATCCTTCTCCCTTTACACCTATTGTCTGGCAAACCCTTTAAAAAGAGAAAAAGCAGGGAAAACCCACAACACTAGTAAGGAGAAACAAGATCACAGTTTTGCTCTGTTGCTTAATAAAATTTCCTGGACATATAGTATTCTAAACACCCATAACATCTGCTACAAACAGTATGAAGAATATTCTGAGCCTACTGTGTTATATTTGACCCGAGGATTTCTGATCACTGTTCAGGTTTAAAGGAACACTGGCAAGGCTAAAAACTCAGCAGATAAGCAGATTGGTTTTATGTCTGTAACACTACAAAGAGGAACATGCTTAAAGTAGCTGTCAGTTTTTGACCTCTACTTAAAATGAAGTAACCAAGAAGACCAAAGGACTAATACAATGTGCATTGAATTTGATATTAACAAACTCCTTTACATTGAAGACACGGGTTTTTTGCACTGTAACAGTTTAAGAGTGTATATACTACGATACTATTAACACTAACTACACTGTGGCATGTCAACATAGAAAACCTTCCTTTAGAGAAGAAGTACAATTTCTTTAAACCAATTCAATTCTTCCTCCTCACTAAAGCTCACTAAATTACAGCTCATGAGAAAGGCAAACTTTAAAGCTAGTCAGTTAATTGATTAAAAAAACCCCACACCACCAGAGTTGTACTCCATTCTCAGATGTGTGATAATCCTCTGAACTAAAGATACATTGAATAATGGAGATGCATACAGTCCCACACTAAAAAGGTGTATGTGATAGTGTAACTGTTTTCAAGAATCATGTTACAAGCTCACAACAAAAAGCAGAATGAACAGGAGAAAGCTCCTAGAGAAAGAATTAAAATTACACAAAAATAAAGATGACAAACATACTTTGCAATTGCTATCAGGGCATCTCTTCTGGATTCTGCAAAGCTTATGTCTGCAGGGGAAATTAAGGTAACTTTTCTCAAACCTTCCAACACCTGAAAAAAATATAAAAATTGAGATACTTAAATCCAATGCATTATTTACAATAAATGTTAAAGTTAGGTATTGTATTAAAATGAGCTCAATCATGTATGACAGAACTAAGCAGGCAACTGTTTGGTTTCTCACCGGGACTTGTCAGCACGCCTCACTCTTCCCTCTGGACAAATGTTCCATAGCAAAGGGATACTTCACAATCTCTGGCTTTTCCATTAACACTGCTAAAGGAGGACTAAACTCTAATTATCAGAATCAGTGGCAAGCTAAGAAAGATGATTTTCTGGAGCTACTGTACATTAGAATCCAAACCCTTTTCACAAAGACCTCTAATTATGATCATTATTATTTATTTTATTACCATCATAGGTTTCATTCAAAATACCATGTGCCCTCTTCTCATTACAATGATCGTATTTTCTCACCTGTTGGAGCCTGCCCTTTAGCAGAAATCTTGGAAGGGCCCCAAGAGCTCGTGAAAAGCCACAACGAATCATTTCCTCTGTGTTTTGTAGTTCTGAAACGTACTGTGTCACCAGCTCATCTAGAAAAAATACAATTACAGAGTGAAAAGTAGCTACCACATCATTATCATTACATATTTAGCTAACAGAAAAATAAAACAGGAAAAGATCCCCCAAATGTAGCAACTAGGAAAATTTTATAATTCATTAAACTGAAATACAGAATACCTTTCATTTCTTACAGAAAAAAGACAAAAATTTTAAGATGTTCACTGTTACATGAATGCTTATTTTCTAAATACAAAGTCAGATTTTTAGACAGACTAATCCTAGTCATTCAAACAGAGAAAAGACAAAGTTCTCAATTAAAAAAGCTATAATGTTTTTAAAATCCAAAGAATAAGTATAAGCACAAATTCTATGCAAACACAGGGGAACAAGTTCTCTTATATTTACAGGTCATCATTTTCCATAATTAGATAAGCGTGCTGTGTTAGGAAAGAGATGTCTCTGGATTTGTGAAGGTCAGTTATTTGACAGATAAGTCTTAAGACAGACAGAAAAGTCTTAACTGGACTGGGGGTTTAAACACAGATACAGATCATACCTAAGCAGTGAGAGAATTTCATATCACTTTTTATATAGAAACAAAAATAAAGTTGGGCTTTTTGCAGGAGAAAGCTCAAAAAGAAGCAACCACTTTGAAGCAGGGATGCTGTGCTCAGATTCTGTGCATTGTTACCTGACAAAACAGGGAAAATGGCTGTACAAACAGTAGCACAGACAAAAGGCACAAGAATAAACTGAACCAGGCATGGAAAAAGGGGGCTCAACAATGAAGTAAAGTGATACAAAGAAGTAAATGAGGATGAATGGAAAAAAAAAAAAAAAGGAAAAAATAAAGTCAGGAATATATCTACATATTCTACTGTAGTCTTTACCATAGACTCAACAGATGATACTTCCTGTACCAGATTTTTCAGCTACTATATTAAACTCTTCTGTAAAATGCAGTGAAAAATTAGGTACTCCAGAAAAGCTTCTAAGAACAACCAAGATAGTTGCAATAAACACAACTCTGGTTCAAAAAGGAAAAGGTGGTCTTATTAATTGCTTTACTGAAAGAATCAGAGATCCTAGGAAGATTATGTAATTGTGCCATTGCTTACTGTCATCTAAGATTTAAACGATTGATCAATATTTGCTAGAGGAAGAAAGACTAGTTACCATAAGAAACTACACATTAATCATCTCATGACTGACTGACTTTTTTTATTTTTTTTTTTTTTTTTTTTTAAATCCTTATGCAATTGGCAAGCCTCAACTAGTTCCTCACATCAGGGAACTAGATCCCTGTCCAGAGGTTAGCAATACCTTCATATAAGCACATCTATTATTTAAAAATTTCCAGACCACTGGAGTGTAAGATAGAGTCTTGAGGCCATAGGAAGACGCAATGCTTGCTTAGACAGCAAGGTGATCTTAGACAGTAAGACTATGAGTGTCTTCCCTTTGATTGATGTAAATTTAAGATTGACATTTTAGCCAAATGACATAAACTTAACACATGACAACTAGCAAATGAGCAGCTCTGTACTTCCTACTACTTAGTAATTATGCTAGTGAGGGTAATGCAATGTTAATATTCTTCTAAGAGTCTTTAGCTTCATAAAACAACAGGGCCTATGAAGCGTCTACAATGTTAATTCAACACAACCCATCCTGAAAGAATATTAAAAGAGAAAGTCATCAAAACCAAACCAGAACACATTAAGACAGAAAAAATAAAACAAAAGAAAGGTGAAAACAAACAGAAGTAAAAGAAGTGACTAAATAAAATTACAGTCTTACAGGGACAGATTCAGAATGCCGAATCACTGAGGTAGCTTTGATTTGTGTTTTCATTTTAATCTGTCAAGCCATAGTAAAACACTGGTTAAATTTTACCAAAAGTTTTTTTTTTCCTTCTAATCCCCTTAATCATGTTTAGACCCGTTTTAACTGACTTATCTAAGGCATCTGCATTGTCATTGAATGTCTTCTGCACTGCAGCTTCCACACATATATGAATACATTAGACATTATGGGGAGGTGTTTTAGTGGTGGATTTCAATCCTATAACATACAGAATTTAATGGTCATGAAATACATAGTTTTTACCAGCACAGAGATGAAATTACACTTTTTCTTTTTTCTTTCGAAAGATGCTTGCATGTATAATGGCACTTTTGTTACCATGTGTAGAAGAGGCTTTAGAGCAGTACAAGGCCAAAGAAAAGCATAATCAAGGCACAGCTGACTAGAGATTTTTTTAGAAGAAAAAAATTTCCAACTCACAATTCTATTCTCTAAATCATCCCAGAAAGTCTGATGAAAATTTTTTCCTGTATCTACAAATTTGACACTAATTATGTCTCTAGATCATCAGGGTTACATCGCCATGATGCCTTCAAGCATAAGCCAGATGAAAACTTAACCTAGAATCCAGGAAAAAACAATTAAGCTTCACAGGCATCTAAAAGAGTACAGCATCAGAACAGCTGCACCATCTATTGCATGCTCTTCCAGGAGATCCTCTCTCCCCCTTGATTTTGACATCTGAGTTTTCTGGTCCAGTTCTACAGAAGCTTGAAACTTCATTGTTACATAAAATGTGACCTATTAGCCTTTCAACTCATTTTTAGTTTGCTTTCTTCGATTCAGCATTGTCTCCTCCTGCCCAAAGTGTTCTGTTTTTACAAAACATTACCCTTTCCTGAGGTTGGGGTTTTTTCATCTGCCTCAGTACGGTATCACATCTTCCCATGCCGCCCACAAAAAAATCAGGCATGCAGTGCCAGCCTGCATGAAGAAAAGGGCTATTTTTGGACAGTTTTATTGACAGAAAATATTTAAAAATCAGTATTAGGCTGCTTTTATATATCAGCCGTAACTTCTTTGAGGCATGGACTGCATACTACTATATATGTGATAGGTATGAGGTTCATTCTGGGAACTACCATAACAGAAATAAATAATAAGATATTCTGTTACCTGATTTAGGAATGACTTAGTAATGGCAAAAAATAGGAAAATAATTAATTATTTTGTTAAGTCTATGTAAATTCACTGTCATATTTAGAAAAACAAGAACACAAATGTTGTTGTTCTTGAAATATCTATCTATACAATCCAGCAATCTGTCTCTGATGGACACAATACAATTTGAAACTTGAAACAAAGAAAAGTCCAAGAAAACCAGTATAAAAAAAAAGATGTTGATCCATACGCACCTAACAAAAGTTTACGCCTACACCTGTACTACTGATCCCAATCCAAACAGATGAGGTTTCATATGCATGCACATTTACAAGAACTCTGTATGTCCTTGTTCCTTCTTATGCCTAACCAATTCTTCTTCATTAAGTCAGCCATGATCTCTGGCATACAGTTTATCAAAATATGATGTGAAAATGTCTCACTTCATTAAAATTTAGGATTTGCCACACACACATATTCTTTGCTTCTTTGTTTTACAGTATGGAATAGAAAAGCAATCTGTTTTTCCTAATATTCATTATTATGGTGCCTTGTATTCATGTCCAGTCTAAAGCAAGCAAAAGCCCTGAGACATTTCCTAGACTTTCAGTTGGTTTTATCACTCTTTTCTGAAGCATTTTAAGGTCCTTTAAAATTAGTGACGTTCCTTCCCATTCTATCCAATACCTCCAAAGCACAAGTTAGGTCCAGCCCAATATTTTCTGCCTCTGCTGTAAACATGAGTCATTACCCTGTAGAGCTGGATCAGCTTCTCCCTTTTCATTGATGTAATATTCATTACACAGCGCAGACAGTGCAGAGACTGCAGACTCCTGTAACAAATGCAAAACTGTGAACTTAATGTATTTACTAAGGTCATACTTTATAACTGTGCTTAGAATTAAAAGGTTAAGGAAAATAAGTCCTTTTTTTTTTAAAAAAATCATTCCCTTCAGCTACTGACATTTATTGTCTTTTTATTTCTTCCCAATACTGGTTTAAGAACAGTTGAACAGGAAACCTATGTAAGGAAAAAAAAAACAGATTCTACTCTTATTCCTTCAAAAGTATCAGTAAGCTAAATTAACATTTAAGACGTTAATAGTAATGTATCAACTGTATTTTCAGTTCAGTTGAAACACCTCCAGGATGACACACTATTACAAAATACAGAAGTCATTATTTCATCTTCAATATATTTCATCTTCAATATATTGATGCGAGATTGATAAACAAACCGTATTTCCCCAGAAACCTACAGAAAGGAAACACAGAAAAAACACCATGGACTGAAGGTTATGAACAAAAACCCCAGTATCACAATCCGTGTGTCTCAATCTTAACTGGTTTAGAAAAGGATCAAAGGTTGTGTATTATGCCTGAACCTCCTAGTCTTTAGAGTAGTTTCAGCCAACACACACCCCAAATCTAAAACAGCTGCTATTTCAAAAAGCATGTAACAAGTTTTCTCTTAAAATTTATGGCTGAATTATACCTTTCAGCTAATAATATAATGCTGACCAAAATTATAAAAAATTTAAGAGTGTACAAAAACTATGTGCTGTTCACTCCATATTAATAGCAACAATACTTATCAATACTAACGTTCTCCAGGTATAAGAAATCTTAAGTGATAACACAGGAATCCTGTACAGCCTATTCATTCTAGCCTCAAAGACACCTCAGACTTGTTCTCTATGCAAAAATCAAGGACTTGAAAGAAAACCAGTATTCATCTAAATAATATTCCAATTACCACAGGGATGATAGTTGAAAAATAGATAGAATTATCTAATTGCTGTAGATCATAGATTCATAGAATAGTTTGGGTTGGTAGACTTTTAAAGCTCATCTAGTCCAATCTCTCTGCAATGAGCAGGGACATTTTCAACTAGATCGTGTTGCTGAGATTCTAAAGAGAATGGTTTTCATCTTAAATGCATGAAGTTACATTGGAAGAGTATACTGTATGTCAGAAAAAAAGATTACTTTTCAATGTCTCAAGCATTGCCCTTAAAATTATTTCTAAAATACATACAGAAAGCAAGTGAGAATTGACATTTACTAAACATACTTTACTCAACATTAAATAATGTTAACCAAACATGTAAAAATTCTCTAAAGTCTATAATTAATTCTTCTAAGCTTGGTTTAGAAGTTCCAGTTATAAGACATACAAACTCTTTGAATAAATTGCTAATGCCAAAAGAATATTCCAAGAATTCAAATTTCATCTTTTAATTTTCTTCAGTGATTTGGATTCATTCTAGTCTACTCTTGTCTTCCAAGGAAGACTTTAAAAGATGAGCTACCAGATACTTGCAATGGCTTTTTATCTTATTTTCAAAACCTAACAGAATGAACACAATATGTTATATTCAAATTGTCTCTGTGATGGCTATAAGCTCTAACAGGGTAGACAAAAATCATCTTTGTAATTCAGTAGAGCCTTTAACAGTGCAAGATCAAACTCCCATGGTATTACTCAGGAAAATTAAGGCAAATAACTGGAGGTGTTAAGATCACATACACAAAATAGCATGAAACATACCCCCCAGTGGATTTAATATTCAGAATTAGAGTAGCTAGAGAGTACAGTAAAAGGATTTGCAACAGAGTTTAATGAAAATTTTAAGCACATTGTCCTGAACAACTCTGGTTGAGCATACCACTGTTAACTCTCACTGTTAACAAACACACCCTCAGTACATCGCGCCTGACAACATCATCCAGAAATTCTTTTTAACTCTCACAAAAGTTCTCTGAAGCCACCAAAATCAACATATCTTACACATATTATAGGTACACCAAAAGAGACACAAAATATCCTATCAGTGTAACCATGTACCCAACAGCAAGTAGCTTCAAGCAACCATCAGCAACTCCTGACCGCCAGCCCACTGTCAATGCCAGCTCCTGCCAGCTACTGCGTCCAAATCTACATACGAGAACAACTATTGTGATAGCTGTTCAAGTATTAATCAAAAAGGCCCATTTGAATTTTGAATAATTCAAATTTTTTTAAAAAAAACACCCTTCTTACCAATCTAAGAAACGAATATTCAAGAACCAATGAGATTCCATGGAAAATAATCCACCAATGGAAAGCAAAAATATTTCTAGTTCTGTATTTAACGTGACTATATGAAGGAGGAACTACTGTACCTTTATATGTTGTCGTGCAGCACTTGAAACAAGAGGGAGACTTCTTAGACTGTCATTTATTAACCACTGCCAGCCACCTGAAATAGTAAGGAACATAAATGGTATTAACTTTTCTTAGTCTCTGAACTTCAACATTATTTTATTTTTTACAAAGACCAGCAATTATACATATTGACGTATTTCCTTGGTTTTCCAAAATAAACAAGGTTGTGATTCTCAATTAGTATAGCTATTCTGGTTTGGTTTACAGTGTACATAGCACAAAGACTGCACCTGCTGATGCTGAAATCTTGAAAACAACTATATTAGTAAGCAGCTACAAAACAAATCTTCAAATAACATCACCTTCTGTTGCAGTATTTGTGCATCTTTTTGATATTTTTTTATTTGTTAGGCCACCCAACCTTGCTAATCTTGCTTCTCTGAAAAAGATCATTTGTTAATACTTTAGCTTAATGAATAATTACTAAGATAATGGAAGGTTATTTAAAATATGACATACCGATTATTGGATCTCCTTTAAATGGCATTTTTGATAGTGACAACTTTTCAATTAAAGTGCAGACTGTAAGAAAATAAGTTTGATAATTGCATAAATACAAAAAAAAAATGAGAAATTGCAGTAATTTTGAATATACAACCACATCGAGGTACATTAGCATTAATTTTAAATTGAAGAAAATTTGCAAATAGAAGTCCAAATTAGAAACTGAAAGGAAATTACACTTGCGATACAAAAAAAAGCTACTATGCACTAACTGTTCTCTGACACAAGTTAGTCCCATCATTCATGCAAATCCATTGTTTGGTGTTATGTTTTTTCCCCTCTGCCATTTAAGGTGCACATGTACGTATTAGCTACCCTTCTGTTCTATACCAGTCTGTAAATGGCTATGTAGTATCATTGATAGTAAACCAACTTGGACAAGGATAATACTACAGCCACTAAAAAAAATATTAAAATATATACAAAAGGTGGTCCTACTTCTTATTAGCATTTTTTAGGACCTTCAAGGAGTGGCATCTGTTCACTGCACAGAGCTAGGAGTTATAAAACTAGATGCAGCTTCATTTTCTTTGATACTTGGAATATCTGAAAATGCCATTTTAATTATTAAGTCCTTATTATTTTAAATCTATAGACTCAAATGAGTTCTAAGCTTGCAAAACCACTTTCAGAATAGCATTTTCTTAGTGTTTCAAGGCTGTTTTAGGGAATAGAGATTAACACAGTAAACACTGCAAAATCTTACTATACAATAGAATGACTGCATTGCTCAAATGAAAACTCAGCACTTAGGGAATACAGTATCTTTCACTTCCTGGTGATCAGTTCAAATACAACAAACCAGTATACATCCATACTGTCTTGACTGCTTTAGAATTGGCGGAGAGGAGGGAGAGGACAGAACAAGCTACTATTTAATGCCACCTTTTTGCTTTCCTCTCCTCCCACAGCTTAATCTCTGAGTCTTACTCCGGGCTCTGTACACAGTTCATCATCCTCTTCATTTATAATCACCTTACCAGGTTCCAAATGCACTCTTGAATTCAGTTTTTCTTGTGGTAATGTCACACAATCACACTCCCTGTGCTCTAACTCCATTAAATATTGTACGCCAGCTTCTTTGTTCTAAAATTTATTGACAGACAAGGTGAAGTACAATATGACTACACCAAAGTCTCTCAGGGTTCCTCCTTAGTTCTCTACACTTCTTTATGCTCTATTGTGGTTGAGACCATCATCTTCATTAGACATGCAGGCAATTTGTGGAACGTTTTCAATTCTTCTCTTATTCCACCTACACAGTTGTATCACGCCAAAATACTGTCATTTGTACTTCTCCAAAATATTCAGCTGCTTAAAAGCTAAAACATATTACAAAAACTACCTATTCTTTCAGCCTGCATTATCATGTCACAAGACTGTAAACTCATTCAAAGACTGCAGAAATCCTCTTGCCCCCTTCACCCCTTCTATTTGATCACTCTTCCATCTTGGTACTGAAACTCCTTTACCCACTAAGTTTGGATGGCTTCACATCTTCAAAGCCAGAATCTGCTATGTAGCACCTCCTTCATTCAACCCATGAGCCAGATACTCAAGTTAGCATCATTTCCTTATCCACCCAGGCTACCTGGATGGATACTTTTTCCTGCAATGCCCTTCCTTTTAACAGTGGTTCTTTATACACCAGTCTTCAAAATCCATGTGAACAACCTGTCATGTTTTCTGTGATACCACCCTTTCTGCAAACTGTTGTCTATATGGTCTTTATTCTTCACCTTTGTGCACATACATATTACGATAAAATCATTAGTTACATGATGGCATCTGTCTTAATGGATAGAGCGTATCTCTTCTGGAGAGGAATCTGAGTAAATCAACTAAGAAAGCCAATTCAACCCTGAAGGAAGTTCACTGTGTGCAACAATGGAAGGAGAGAATGTGTGACATAAGCCAAAGAACCATCTCCAAGTCTTACACAGTTACTCAGAAGTGTGATGTCAACCAATGTTCTGGTGTACCTGTTTTCTGATTGGCCTCCAAACTTTGTGTTTTTTTAATTACTGTGCATACTTTATTTATGCATTCAATGCAATATATGCAGAACAAACTGGAAAAAAAAGTGAACAGAAGAATTAATTACTGCACATTTTCTGCTTTCACTCCACAGCCGTGATACTTACCAGCAGGTCTCATCAGTTCTCCACCTAAACCCCTGCAAAGCAGAAACAGAGCCTTCAGAGAATAACCTACCACAAGCAATCTGAGTGCATTGCCTAGTGAGGAAAAAAAAAACTCAAAACCATTTCAAAATTAAAGCAGATCACAAAATACCTGCAGTTTTGTGTTTGACCAACTGTAAAATACTTTTTAAGTCAACTCTTGTCTCGAATTCAGCATCATTTATACAAAACCTTCCTCAATATTTAACTTTCTTCTTGCAAAAATGTGGTCCCAGGCTTTCTAATTTTTAATGTGAATAATAAAAGACTGTCAAGTTCTTTCTGCTTTTCTTTTCACTTGCTTCAGAAGCATTCCAAACCTGTGGGACTTGCCACAGGACTTTTCAGTCATACAGCCTCTACAAGCTCCTGACTTCCACAACTGAAAAGCAATTACATGCAATTTTTTAACAAAATCTCTGGAACATTAAATAGAAACTTCACTTACCAGTTCCCATTTTCACAAATGTTAACTGGTTTACTTTACTGGCAAAGTTTCTCATCCTTCTCTCTTCACTCTCTCCTTCCCTGCTAAAGCCCCCTCCCAGGTGATTTTGCATTCATCACCACAAGCAAGGCGGTAAAAACTTCCAATGCATCAGAAAAGGGAGAGAAACAAATGGCTCAAGATGTTTCAGACCCTCTTGAATTTAGTGTGTGTTACACAAGGATGGTCTCACCAGCTCAGACCTCAGGCTTACCCAACCCAGTTATCCTGGTCACTGACAGCACTAGGAAGAGGAAGTTTGAACCAGGCAGAAAACGGGGAGAGGGAGAAGCATCCTGGAAATAGCAGGGCCTGTTTCCATTCTTTAGACTCTCATGTCTCTGGGCGGAGAGATGTCTCCTCACCCTGCTGAGCAATATCTGCTGGTTACATGGATATCCCCAAGGTGCCGTGAGCACGGCTTGGGGTGTTCTGCTCAGTGTCACCCTCTGTGGCTTAATTTTTCCATTTTATGAACCTTTGACTCCTGCTCTTCCTTTGGATATTTCCTCTCCCGAAATCCTGTTCTTGTCTCCCTTCACTTCTGCCAGAATATTTCCTCCCTGAGGTGTGCCAAACCCTTAATCATCTGTTTGTATGGCCATGATCTGACAGAAACTCCCAGCAAGGGGTAGGAACAACAAAGGCTTTTCTGTTTATTTGCTTGGTCTGTTTTTTGTTTTTTTAAAAAAACTTTTCTTCCCTCCCCTCCTCCTCCCTCCCCACAATAAAATTAGTAGCTATGCTCAGAAGGCAAACTTAGCAACCTTAACAACTCAGAACTTTGTTCTCCAATTTATCTTTTTATATGAGCTTCAAAAGCCTAAACATCTTAAACAAGTTTATCCATTCCATACAAGTAGGTGCCTCCTGTAACATGCACTGGGTTTTTGACTGCTCAACATTTTCATTGGTCTTGCAGGTAATGCAGAGATGGTACCTCCACAATGTTCTCATTTGCCAGAGATCCACATTTCCTTTAATTGGGAAACTTTTGCTTTTGACAATCAATATATTAAGCTCAATGTAATAATCCACAGCACAGTTTATCATCATAGGAAGCAAGCACAGATTCCACATCCCCATGCTGATAAGGTTTTTGTATTATCTACCCCACCTTCCTGCTATCCTGTCTGCTCTCCAGCTTCTGAAAAATTTAAATTAGAAAACAAAGAAGTGATCAAGAAGTTGAGACAGTGGCAAAAACAGAAGAATGACGGGGCAAGACATGTTTCCTCTTCAACGTTTCGTTTCCCTTCAATTTGTCCTCACCCATTCCTTGCCTTTTGTCTCTTGTCTTACTGCAAATGAGTATAAAATAATGATCGTGTAAATTTCTTTAGTATGCAACAGAGTCTGCTGATGCAAGGATTCAGATACAGACTTCTGTTCAAACTACAAAGCAAGAACTGAGTCATAAAGGCTGTTCTTCTCCACTTCTTCACACTGCCAATAAGGAAGTCAGGCCACTTAAAGCTACTCTTATGTTAATAATTTGACAGCTATCCCTTCCTTTGGCATTACATCAACTCAATTTAATTTCAGGGTTTAGAGCCTCACTGAGGATTGTTGTCCCTCTGCAAGAATGAAGAATGGTGACAGTGATTTGCATAGTAAGATTTCCATGTAATGCAGAAACTATAATCAAATCTATCTTTGAAGGCACTGCGATAACCATATGTTCTTCTCTGCAAAACTTTTCAAGTTATTTCTTGCCTAGACATCGCAGTATGTCCATCAATATAACTAACATTTTCCCCCCTTCCACTGTTCATACATATTTCAATTTCAAGAACCAAGAATTCTATCATAATCCTAGATCTTTCCTCAGTCAGTGTTTAGTTTGTCAAACATGATGCACATCTTTCTATTAACTTTATCTTGCTCTACAGTATTTCACTAAATTAAAGAGATACGGATCTACCTAATTCAGAGATTCTGAATTTCGCTGTATCGTCAGTATTCTCTTTTTTTCTTCCAAAGACACATCCACAAGTTGCATCATATTATTAGATGTACCTGTTTCAAGTTTAATTATTAATTCAATTTGTAAACTGACTGATGCAGTGCCTAGGTTCCATGAGCTCCTAAGCACTCCTTCCCATGTACAGTTCCACAGCAATGCTTCTCTCAGGATGAGTCACAATTTATTTGTGGAAAAAATATACTCAAAAGATATAATCCCTTGTAGAACCGATGAATTAAGATTACTGACCTAAGAATGCTGGTATCTATTTTAAAATTACATAGGCCTGAATCAGAACCAATGACAGTGCTGTTTTCAGTGCATATAGAAGTTCCAAGGTACTTTTGTGGATTTTTTTTTTTTTAAAAATTATTTAAAACCTGCTTTTGGTGAGAAGTTCAGAATTCATCTTTAAGATTACAAAAACAACAGTAGCTGAAGCTGCTTAGAATTGAACAGCATCTATGTTTTCATAAACATCTGAGTCTGATATTAAAACTACTGGAATAGCTGAAGAGATTCAATTGCATACACTCAATTTCCAGGAAGCTAAGAACACCTGCTGAATAAGTATTTTCATCTCCATATGAATAGTAACCAATTAATTTCCATGGGAAATCTTTGGCCAAAATAGAATTGAGGTATCTTAAAAGGTCCAGGTTGTACAGTTACTGGGCTTTGGAGTACAAAATTGCTTTATCACAAGGTACGCAGAGGAGGGAAGAAATACCTTTGAGCATAGATGAAAATGTTTATTTAATAAAGCTCTTATGGTCAACCCTTGAAGATGCAGAGAATAAACTATACTAAGCTGACAAACACCTATTTTTAAGTTACTGTAAATTCATATGCTTACTGTACACATTTTGTATTGTATTCTAACACCAGAAGACTACAGGTGAAATCCTGGCTCTATAGAAGTAAGAGTTTTCCCAGTGACTTCAGTTCGTAGCAAAAGAATTTCACCTTATAACTCTTCAGAACGTAGTAGAGCATGATCTCCTACAACCATCATGCTACTGGGTGCAAAGAATAATTTAAACTTGGAAGAATTGTTAAGATGAGCTTTGTTGCAGGGCTGGAATTATTTGCTGATTAAGTTAATATGCCTAAAAAACTCTTTTATGTAGATGACTGCCAAGAAACACATTTGCCCTGAAACCATCAAGATTAGTTGCAACCTTAAAGGTCTTTGAAATGAGATGAGTTTCTCTTTTGCCTAGCACCTGTCAACACCTACAGGCTACCTAAATCTTTTCTAAAAGTTGCAACTCTGAAGATGACACTCCAGCTTACACTGGCTACTATTCTAAAAACCTAAACTTGCTCATCTCCCGTAGCTGACTGTGCAATACACACAGCCAGCCTCTTCGTATGTTACAAGAATGAGATCAGAGCAAAACTCGGCATGCAGCACATTGTACTAACTGAATCATCCAGTGTGGGAGTTGCTAACAAACACTGTGCACCCTGTCATATCCAGCTCTGATGGGAACCCTGAAGGCCCAATAAATAGAACATTTGCTGAAATACAGAAGTGAAGTGCAACGACCTGGAAGAAGCCCAGCATATCTATCTGCAGCACTTCCATATCCGTCCCTAAATTACCTTGTTACTCAACCCTGTGTATAAACACATATGTTCTCAGTCTCAGACCTGGCTACAAGAAAGGAGGTAAAAAAGCATTGTGAGCATCTATTCAGCTGAATATTCAGTCAATAACTTTATATCAGATGATGCATTTTTAAAGAATCTTAACAGAACTACTATTAAAAATACTTTTTTCTTGAAGACGTTTCATATTGAGAACTAGTACAAGGTCTCAGATGCACCACAGAAATATATCTGCTAAAAAAAAAGATATAACCATGCTGGTTCAGTGGAAGTATAACATAAATCAGGCTGACCATTAACACCATGTTTTAACTGGCAGACCGACTTCCTATCCCAACTAAGACAGCTTAAGGCAACAGATGCCACAAGTTTTTGTCTTTGGTTTTTATATATAAAAGTAATGTTTAAAGCAAATAAAACGTAGTTCCATTTTTATAACTCTACAACCTGTATAGCACAAAGCAGACACAATGGACAAATACTCTAAGTGGCATGGTTTGTGTATGACTTGCTGTAACTACTGCCCATTTAATACAGAAAATCAGGCTCACTTCGCAATACTCAACTGGAAGTGCAAATGCAAATGCTTAAACCAACCAGCTCCTCAAGACAAACTAGTGCATCCAATGTGTCAGAGTCAAGACGAATGGAAGGAAGTACACGCTGATGTGCCTGGACTTGCATTCTCCTTTTTCAGCATACTATGCTAAACCCAGAAAAGGACTTACACAGGAAGACTGAAATATACTTGCTTTTAAAAAAAAATGTTAATACAGAAAAGGACAGGCTTTTCTACAATTAGCATAAACAAATTTGATTGCTTCAAGTATACTCAAAATTGAGAGATTGTGCAGCATAACTCAAAACTTGGACTGCATCCTGTCTGAAGGATAATTCATGGCCATCATTCAAAATCAGGTTAAAGACACTACAAGAGCTGCTAAACGAAGTAAGATGGTTATGTGAAGGTCTCCATTATGGCACTTTGGCTTTATCTCTTCTGACTTGAGGTACTTACGGATTCAATGGAATCCTAAGCACTAAACAATCAAGAAATTCACAACCCATTTTCCAGCTTAAAATTCATAAATTATAACTTAAACCAAACCAAAACCAAAACGACGGTATTTTTACACTTTACTTCCTTTTCCCTTTCTCTCAGGCCAATGCAATTTCTGAAAAAACCTTGATCAAAGCATTAAAATCCTTTTGGTCCACAAAAACCTATTTTGTTGCCAGAAATGAAAGCAAAATATTTAATAAACAGTTGAGACATGTGGCCTGATGCTTTTTGTTAAGGCAGTTTAAAAATTAGAAACACAAATAAAACACACAGGTTTTCAACATTCCTACAAGATGTTGTTACATGGAAAATTCCCGGTAGCAATTTCTCAAATGGAAATCTTTGGAATATTATGTGCAATAATTACTCATCATGAAACAAGTTTGGCTTGTTTCACTAAATGCTTGCCCAGCAATACTCAAATTGCTGGTTTGTTTTTATAACCTAGTTTATTTTTCTTGTCCTATTTTGAAATATTTTATGCATACCGATACTTTAAACTATGGATTATAGTAGACATCTCTGTCTCAGCCTATAGTACTAAATAGCAATGAATCAATTTTGCTTGGAGTTGAATTAGAAGTCTTATCTAGAATGAAAACATTTCTGTAGGCACCTTATAAATACCATTAACTGCAAGAAGCGCACATTATGACAAAAACAAATTACACCCAAGCTCCACCCTGACATTAAAGAATTTATGGGAGCCAAGACAGCCACCCACAAAGACACTAACATACAGTATCAGCATTAAAACCATCTGCCAGTACAAGCTAACTTTGGAGTGGAAGTTTCATAACAGTATGTACGACCCTCAAGAAGTAAACTTTAACATTTTTTTCAGAAGGTTTCAGGATACAAAAATTTACATAAAAATTCTTTAAATTATAATTAATAATTACACAAAAAAAACTACTTAAGGTTTACTGTTTTCAGATATATCATGTGCAAAGAAGTAAACTAAACTGCCCAAAAGCTCAAAGAATTTGTCAGTCAAAGCAGAAGAAAACCCTCATTCACATATACAATCATTAGGGAATATAAGTCATTAATTATGTTTTGATTTCCTTAAATTTACAAACAAACTCTGAAGTCACACACCAGTTTTAATTCACATTTACTTAACAGTTATATAGGCAAACTCCCTTTATTTCCTGGGAGCTTTAATAAATAGGAAATGAAAAACAATTTAGTGAAAACTCATTTACGTTTTCTTTGGCGCAAGAGTTGAAAAATTGCATTAAACCTTTTGTCATACTCCTGGCCTATCATTACACAGGATGAAGAAAGTAATTCTAGAATTTAGATAGAAGCTCCTTTGAAAATGAAAAAATAAAATTTGGACTAATTAACTTATTAGTTAAAGATCATTTCTATAGACCTATTTGAACCATACATGTACTACCGTACAGGTTAATAATGAGAAAGAAATCCATGATACATTGCTGAAGCCATGGATTAGCAAGCATATTCTGTTTTACCTTCTTTCCTTTCTTTAAGTGTCTCTATCATAATATTGAGACCAGTACTTGCCACTTTCCCATTAATCTAATATGCCTGTAAGTCGCACGCTCTAAACACCAAGACCATTATAAAACTACATCAGCCTGTGTAATAGGTAGATCAAGTCAAAAGAATGCATGTGCTTGCATTCTGATGAAGGGTGAGAGACTGGCAGTCTATGTAAGACTAACTTGTACAAACCAAAAACCCCCCTAGGATTCTACTGTTTTCATTATTTCCAACTGATACTTTCCAATACGAAAAATAATTTTTTTACATAAATTTTCTTACCTGTACAACTGACGACTGCAAAGCTGGGGGGGGGAAAAAGCAACAAACATTAATTGTTTGATACAAGTCTTTTTGTTTTTCCTCCTTGCATGCAGTGTCTAGGTACTGTGAGCTATGCAACACTTTGGATTATTTTAAAAATAAAATTCAAAGGAAAAATCTTTTTTAAAAAACCTCTTTATATCCATTTGAATTTTACATTCAGAGAAAATCAATTTAACACATTCATACAGCACTATAATTCCAAATCCTAGCTGCTCCTGCACATACCCTGGAAGCTAGTTTGGCTTTTTAAAATACATTTTAAAATATAGCTTTCCATAGCTGGCCCTTTTAAAATGATGATATACTGCATTGTCTGAAAACTGCAAATAACTTTTGTTAGCTACAGATTAAACATACAGACTTAAACAAAAGTTCATATATGACTGAAAAATATTATCTCATTCTTAACATTACAGTAGGCCATCTTAAAAAAAAAATCAGAGATTATCAAATTTCTATGTAGTAAAATCCCCCCAAAACCAGTTTTCTAAGAAGAAGGAGTTTACACCAACTTTGCAGATTAATTATAACAGACAATAGCAGAAACTGGAAAGTATCATAACAAATTAAGGCCATTGTAACAGTACAGATACTGCTGATCACGCTTTCAGGCATTTCAACACGAGAAAGTTAATCAAGGACAAAGATGCTTTTTCAACCCGTAGCAACAGCTTTCACCTATGCACAGAATTAAGCAAGCACCTATATACTTTAAAGCATAATGGGTAAATGATGAATCCAGACAGCTTTAGCATATCGGAACTGGGACTAAAGGTACTACAGATACTGCAGAAAACGAGTATGTGCCTGAATGCTGAATTATTTTCTGTTCCATAAGGTGAAGAAATAGGAGTCAAAAGAAAAAATAACGTGGGATGACTTAAAATTAAACAGATAAGTTAGGCAAAATTATCTCTGTATAAGCATTTTAAATTACTATGAGTAGGACAAGACTTCATTTGTCCTAAGTAGAGATAAAGACAATGCATCAGTTGAAATACAGAACATGACTTTCAAGGTCTATAAAGAGGTAAATTATGGATGCAAGGATTCAGCAATGAACTCCCAATAAAGTAAAAAAAAAAAAAAAAAAAAAAAAAAGGACAGAGAATGGACTAATGGACTTACTAGGAGATCTCCTGAGCATGATCACATTAAGGCAACAGCCATACCTCTATCTGCAAGGCCGGTCAGTATGTACGGAAAGGGAGAAGAAACAGAAGGGGAAAGAAAAACAAAGCAAAAAACCCCATGTGGTATTTCAGAAGTGTAACTGACAGTATCAGAGAAAGGGACCAAATACAAAATTGTACTGGAATAAGACACATGGTCAAGGACATCTCGCTATCAGCCAGTCTGGAGTGCGTATCCAAATTTGTATTTGTGAGATTGTTTACTTTTGGCAAGCGGAAGAGAAAGGTGGAGAACAGCTGTCTTAATTGTAAATGTTTGTTGAAAAATAATACAACATATCAGGTTAAAAGATACATTCATACTTGCTACAAACCTCTTGATGGATTTGCTTAAGTCCCTCCAATGATTTTTCATTGAAATAATATGTTATAGATCTGTAAAGGTATACAAAAATTTTAAGAGTGGTTTCCTAATCATGCTATAAATCATTTTTCTTCCATGACTTCATTGTACTTTCAAACAGAAAAACAGTAATTTGACTTCTAAATAATTTTAAGTAGTTCAGCAAACATAGTAACATAAGTTCTTTCCTTATCATGTAACAAACTCATTCTTAAAGGACTATAAAAAACTAGTGTCACTTACTAATAACATTATAATCAGTAATACACGATAACCCTTCTCAGTTTAGCTGTATTTTTGGACTTCAACACTTCTGTTATTTTTCTATCATTTTCAAGTATTTCCTACTACTAAAAGTGCTCTGCATCTTTTTCTGTAACTTTTCACCTTACTTGAAATTCTTTGGATAGACACTGCTGGCAAATACAATTCCTATTTGTCACTAATTAAAGCCATAAAAATCAGTGCACACTTTTGATATCTATTGTTTGAATTCATCTCAGTATATTTACCTTGTACAAACAATGACAACATTAGATTTGTTAGATGTTACCACTTTACGTATCTTTGTACGACTGCCTCAGAATGTTCTCAGAAGTAAAATAAAGGTTCATCAGAGAGTAATTATCCAACTTGTAGAACAAAAATGACCCATAAAATCTGGCTTTTTAAAAGGTATTTCTTCAGCGTATATATGACTCCTGCAGAACTGTATTTATTTTCAGTGAAGTTTGCACTCTGAAGTCTTATTTTCCACTGCCTTGATCTTAAGCAGCCACTCATCCCAATTTAAGTCACACTAGTACACAATTCTACTGCTAACGTTAACTTCCAAATTCCAGTTTTTGCAATATAAGATTTTCAACCATTTTTCACATATGATTCTTGTGAAAGAAAGAAAAGGTAAATGACTCATTTCTTTAAGCACAACATTAAAGCAAAGACATCTCCAAATAATTTTCTGAATTATTCTGGCTACATAACCTATAAGAAATATGTGTGTGTGTACACACACATACACACATACACCATATATATGTATCTGGACCAGCATTCAGCAGCAACAATTAAATCAGTTCAACTCAACAAGCTGCTTGAGGAGGTATTTCTCCAACACTGAAGACACAAGACTGTCCCCTCACCAGGAACACAGCATACTTATGAGGAAGGGGGGTTTAATCTATATTTAAATAACTTTGAACTCTCCAAGTAAGGCAGCAAATGATCTCACTTTCCTGATGATGAATTTAGACTTAAGTTTATAACATCACTGAATAAAATGTGAAGGTTTGGCACGACTGATCAAAACAAACAAAAATTCAATGGAAAAGAAGTTCCGTAAAAAGGAGATTTCCATAATTATACTCAGGAAGCTTTCAATAGACCAGACATGAAAGGAAAACTTATAGTAAAGATAATCTTGCACTTGTACCTATTATTTTCTTCTGCTAGTTTACACAGTGCATGGGTGATCTCAGCACAGGCAAGAATTGCCCCATGGCGTGTGTGCAGATCTGAGCCCACTGATAAAGGCAGAAGTCTTGGCAAAACTGAAAGAGATTAAATTTTTTATTTTTATTTTTTTTAAACAAAGCATAGTGATAGATTACAGTTCTAAATGTAATCAATGTCTACCTAGAAATAACATGAGAAAACCATTTCTGGAAAGTCAGACCAACATATCCTGGCCATTATATGAAAACCAAGTTTTAAAAATAGTCAAAAGTAAATTTAAGTTTAAAAGTAAATTCTGACAAAGCATACTAAACCATATCAAGAAATTTTGTACTCACAACTGCCTCCCTGTTTGAAGTAAATAACATACTTGCTATTAGGCATTGGGCTGGCTGAGTGATAAGGGAAATGAGGCTTGTACTTCCATGGAATTTTACTTCCACGTAAACTGACACGTTCCTGGGCCACTATAGGGAGCCTAGGTAAGATCTGTAACTACAGATACACCTGGGTGCCAGCTGCTGCCTTTCAGCCATATTAAAAAGCAGCTAGTACATCTTCAGGGTCTTAAGTGGGCTGAGTAAAGGATCCTGAATTCATGCTAAGAAACATTTGACTACACACACAGCAATCAGAAAGGAATTCTGCTGACAATGTCAGATTGGACAAGACAAAACAGATCCCCCCACCCTTTATGACATCAAAGCCATATCAACAAAGTAAAAGTTAGGAATTTGAGGGCTAGCTGCCTGAATTGTTGCAACAGAACTACAGCCATTTATTCGTCTCAGAACTGGTAGGGTTCCGTGTAGTCAGATAACTGAAGTCCAGTCCCCAGATAAAAAAAGATCTGGCAGCATTTTATAGTTTTTGCATAAAATCTGAAAACTGGTAAAGCTATTAGTGTCACTACACTGTATTAAGTTGCAGGGAAAATCTTAATTTTTATTAATTCATGGTGCATGTTTAAATCTTCTTAATACGTTTTTGCTTCATAAGCTAGAACACTTGATAGGGCAACGCTATGCAGAACTTAATGGTTACCTACCCACACCTGCCATGTATTCAGGAGCCCGTGGAGTAAGGTTATGCAGAGCTTTGGTTGAAAGTTCTCGAATAACACTGAAGATGAAAAAAAGCATTTTGGGGTTTTTTATGGGTTAGCAATTTAGTAGAAGCAATGTATTAAAAAAAAATAATATCAGGAAGGGACTCCTGTCCCCATCCAAAATAAAGACCCCAGCAATATTAAAAATTACAGTATTGTCTGTCCATCCTATGCTTCCCTCCTCAAAAAAAAGCCAACAAAACAAAACAGTGGACCAAAGAGACAGCCTACAGCTAGCTTTTAGCTATATGAATAGAACTTATTGCTGAAAGAGACAAAGAAAAACATATGTGTGGATGGTAGAACCTGAGGGCTCATTCTATGCATTGGCAGGGACACTACAGTAAACTATTATTATTTCTCATGATGCAAACTATTATCAGCACTGATATAATCTCATTTGTGTTATATGTACACATTTTAATCTTCATGAACACTGAATATGACTAAGCACCATCTCTATGCATGAAATCTACTTTAATTATGATAATTGTATGGTGACGGTGTTTACCCCTCACATACACTATATACCATATAGATGTGTTTTATTAATCTATTAACAGATTGAGGTCATGGCAAAAAGACAAAATTCGTAAGCATGTTTTAAGCGACAATATGCTAGGGAGGTATAGATGACATCAGCTACTACTTGTCCAGTTCCCTTCAGTTAAATGCTATCGCAAACTCTATTATAGGTAACAAAAATAATCTAGGAAAGCATGATATGCAGAACAGTCAATTCCTGGATACTAATAATTAGACTTTATGAACTTACCTATCCCAGTGGTTAATCTTCATGTTAACTAAATGATCAATCATTGGCTGTGTATACTCAGGAAAGCCAGCAATATACACACTGAAAAAGAAATGTCCAGAGAGAGAGTACAGAATCAACATTTGTGTGCATTTTAACACAAGGAACATGCCTTCTCCTAAATGAGATGCAGACGAATGAAATAATGCACTAGGAAATATTTTACAATTATTGAAAAAAATTTAAATAACTTCTTTAAAACTTTCAGATTCTTTATAAAAACTACTATACATACAAAAAGCTTGACAGCAACAAAAAGCAAAAATAAACATTCAATTCCCATTGTTACATTCTAGAAAATCTAGATGTGTATATTAATTTATACAATTATTTCAGATTGGAGAAACATATTAATGATGTAACCCACAGACACAGTAAAATTAAGTTATAGAAATGTACTACATCTTCATAAATACAATGGTCCAAAATTGAATACGGGTTTTCAATTTGTCCTTTTCAAAAATCAAAAATACACAAAAAGTCAATTCTGACAAAAAATGTTAAAGCTGCAAAATCAAGACCTAAGATGTAAGGGAACACCAGAATTAATTACCTAGGTAGCCTCCATAATTACCTAACTTTACAGCCATGCTTGCTTTCCAATCTTCAGAAGCATCAACTATTGAAAGCTAAGATCAACAGATGTTAAGTGAAATGTTTTTTCAGTACATCTGATGTATGTTAAATCATCTTGGAAAGCTAAACAATCAGTAGAATGTGTTTGTGTCAAAATGGCATGCACAAAGGGACAAAATTAAGGAACATGGATTACCTTAATTTCACCTTTTCATATCTTTTGAGTGATTAACTTTGCAACCATAAGAGTGTTCCATTAATATATGTGTGTGTAATGAGAAGCAAAACAATGACAAAAAACAAATACTGTTGCATGTTACCATACTGATATCTACGTAATTCATCAGAGGAGTAGGAATCCTTAAATCCACAGCACAGACCTCAGTCACTTGAGCCAATACAGAAGTACTATCTACTACTGCTATGAGCCCTAGAGGGGCATGAGACAGTTGCTTTAACTGGCTGTTGATGCCAGCAGAGAAATGATAAAATTCATTACTCTGGTTCCTTTCCCTGTTCTGGAAGAACATACAATAACAGAGATACTTCCCTTGCTATATTTCAGTTCTCCTCTCTTCTTTGTAGTTGCTTTTTGGGTCCTAGTTTTAATACTCACCATTCTTTACAACCATTTTAATTTGAACTTCGTTGCCCAGCTTATCAAAGTTGCTCTCTTGGGCCAAGTCTGTAGCCCAGTCCCACTTTCAGTTTTATTTTAGAACTATCTTTAACTACAGCCCTCATCTTTTGTATCCTACCGAGTATTTAATGCAGGTAGCCTTGGATACAAGTCTAGCCTTCCTGATAATGTTGCTGGTAAGATTTTTGTATCCCATTCTACTTAGATTAAGAAGCTTCTTCCTTAACTCTCTTTTTACCAAGCCCAGAATTTCTGGAATCACATAATCTCTTTACTCCCAGTTCATACAAAATGGGTTTCCTCTACCTTCCATACTCAGAAATAGATTATGATATTTGATCTGAATCCTCCAAAGAATATCAGCAAAAAGTTTCAAAAGGGCACTCATTGTGAAAAACTTGCATAAAAATATTTAGATTTGAAAGGATATAAGCCATTATTTATACATGTATATATCTTACATATATAAAATATATATGATACTGCCTCTCTAGAAGAATATACCATATTTATTAACCAAAACCAAATTCAGCTGTAGAAACTGCCACATCTTTTTCGCACTTTTATTGCTCAAAGGAATCTAGTAGTACCAACCTTCACACCTGCACAGCTTCCTTTCAAAATACAAAGTGTCCCAGGATTGTTTTATCTGGGTGGGGAAGGCCAGCTACAGATTCTAGATCTGCAATATGAACTTCAAGCAGCTTTTTCCAGCTACATAAACAACTACACTACCTTCAGGCATACTGATCAGAAAGGTCCATTCTTCCTACCACATCATGATCATACATGTTTTCTCTGCAGCCAAATATATGCTTATGTACTTTTCCTTTGATCTTACACAGACAAAAATAAGGACATCATTAAGTATTGACCCAAATAATGACATCCTGCTTGAAAAGCAAAGTGGTAAAAATTTTTAAAAGTAATATAACAAATGAGATAAGTACTTTACAAAGAAGAGTTTGATTAATAACACTGAACATGGGTTCAAGGAATCAAACTACTAAGTGCATGAGATTATTTATAAAGAATTTACAAATTTATTCCTTCTGCTGCACAATTTAAAGAAAGGCTCAAGAGTGGAAGAAGGAAATGAACAGTAAAAGTATTTTCACTTAGATAAGTAACACTCCTACAAAAACCCTGAAAATCACAATGAAATAAGTAATAATGAGCATTTGAAAAAAATAATAAATTAACTATTCAGCTCTCAAAAAGTAAGGAGAACATAATTAGTCTCCAAGCCAAAATTATAAGCGAAAAATAAAAACTGCTTTGTCAATTTTGAGTATTTTCCATTTTCTACCAGTACAAAAAACCAGAGTTTCCAAAATCACATTGATGCTACATGGATCTAGAGCAGCATCGAACACCAATCCACAGCATTTCCCCATCTCAGCTCAGTAGGTGGGAGCTCTGGGGAAGAGTGTAGGAGGAGGGTGTGGACCCCAGAAGGAACGACAGTCGGTGAAAGGTGAAGATGTGTACAGGCTGAAATGATTCTGTGCAAAAGGGAAAATATGGACGTGAACAGATTAATTAAAAAAAATAGTTGAGGAGAGGACAGAGGGTTCCAGTGCAAGTTATCTTAAACCATCATATACCTGTTTGCTATTTCTGTTCCCCAAGAATATAATCTCTTCAAGCCCTTCTAACCTGTTGGCTTCTGAGCACCATGCAACTCCATAGGGCAATTTATCTGACCTATCTTACAATGGTCTGAATCACCTTCTATAGGTCTCTGTCTCTTTGCATTGGCTATGGAAAGAGGCTAGACACCTAGGCTAGACTGTCTGTCTTAGACAACTAAAGCTAGAACCCAGCCCTCAGTCTTTTTCATCTTCTCATAAGCAAGTGCAATCTTAGGTTCATTTTAGTCATCTTGTGCACCCAGCTTGCCTCTGAATTCCCCTGACTTCAGCATTACTGTATTTTCAGATAGCTGACCAGACCAGACCAGACCACAACACAGTATTCCAAGACAAGCACTGATTTATAACAGCATGACACCCGTTTCAGTATTTCTGATTACATTCTTTAAAGACTCCATACTGCAGTAATCAGCTTGGTTTCTGAAACAGTACTGCATACTGTGGTTAAGATTTTCACCAAGCTATCCATGAAAAATATAAGCATTCAAGTTAAAGGTCTATGCACAGATCACAAATTCAACAACTTGTGCAAAATATTTTTTTAAATCGGTATTAGTTTACTTTTTCACCCACATCAGAGTCTATGAGCCATCGTAACAGCCTCTCTTTTTACTATACTCTTCAAAGTCCCCTAGTCTACTCTAATCTTGATGAGCTTAGACAGTTTTGTGACACCTGCAAATACTGCCTCGTGACTATTTCCTCCATGTAGACAAGGAAATCACGGTCATATTTTCACCACATCTTATGCATAATAAGCAGTTTGATGCAGACGTAAGAAAAATAAAATTTTAACTTATTCAAAAACAACAGTAATAAACATAATGTTCGGTAAGGTGAAACAATAAGACAAATATTTCATTATGTAGAAAGGTCCCTCATGTCTAGGAAAACTAATGCTTGGAAACTTACCTTATAGTCAGATAACAGTTAACTCTGTTACCAACAGCAAAATAATCAGCAGCAGTTAGAATATCAATGCCATGGGGAAAAGTGCCCTACAAACATCACAGGGAAGAGTGGAAAAAAATAAGAAAATAGTATTTAAAAATGTAAAGAACTTCCCAAATAGGCAACATGATTGAAAACAAATCTACTACTACTCTTCAAGCACTGAAAAAATACAATTTAATTTCTAATTTATAGTAAAATCACTTGTACTAAAGATATAAAGGATATCAGACATACAAACAGCAAAATACCTGGCTTCACTTATGAGTCAATGATAAACAAAGTAAATAGCAGCAGGTAATAAACTATGCAATAGCTACCTTAACACCTTAAAGTCATATCCAAATATATATTTGGGGAACGCATGACTATGTATGTACACAAAAGATGATTTCTCTAAAAGAAGGTTTAGATAAACGTAAACAAGTCTCCAGTTTATGTGAAGGAACAAGTATCTGCTGCAAGTTTTATGAAGTATAAAATTAGAGATTTAGACACCAAGAAATGCATCACATGTAGTTCAACACATGGGAGTTCAATTACTTCTATTTGTTTCTACTCACACATATATGTTATGACTTATTTATTAATGAACTAAAAATTTGGGGTAAGTTTGTTTGTTTTTAAAAAGAACACTGGCTGCCAGCAAAGCCTGAAACATTGAATCCTACAGAAGTATCACACTTTTGACATCACTGCTCAAAAAATTCTGGTTTTAGAAGATAAATTATCTTTCTAAATATGCAATTGCCACCTAAAAATTCACCTTTTTATATAAGCAATACAATTCAGATACTCAGAATTTCGATTGGCTATGACTGATTTAATATAGTGTTACATGGCAAGCCTGTGTTTTGGAACAGAGGAGGCAGCATGGCCTCCACAAGCCATAATTAAGTCCAAATGGAAAACAGCCAACTGAAAGACACTACGCTCACTTACAAAAGGGACAATCATATGATATTTAAGCAATAAGGCTATGTGGAAGTACAGGTTCTGGATGATACAGTTTTGTTTGTTTACAGCTCGCTTATCCCTTCCACATGAGGATACAGCCATGCAAAAATAGTAGAAAATATCTCTAGATCTAAGCCTGAATAATTAAAGAAGTATATACTGCAAGCAATGGGAAGCTGTCAGCTACTGCAGAGGTCTTATTCTGGGAAACATACCACCAATGGTCCAAAAAACCACGGCCTGGAATCTGACTGAATTAAGGACAGACAGAACATTTATGGCTTATCCAAGAGACTATCTGCAAGCCCTAATAACTCAAAGGTGAAATGAATGCGCTCTCCAAATGCCTAATGAAACACTGATTAAGGAGAAAAATGTACACATGAGAAATACCTCAGCATGATTTATAGCCAAACAACAAGACATACAATGAAATACATAAGAATGCATACTGTACATAAGGAAAAATCACGGGTTAACAATTTCAATTCTAGCTGCTGGTTGGTCCTTGCAATTTATTACTTGGCTGTAAGTGCGCCAATTTGATGCCATCTCACCGAAGGTCATGGTGCCACAGTGCATGTCAGTGAGACAGCAAAATTCCTGACACCAAGTTCATGAGTACAGAGGTCATGGCCAATGGGAGAGACAGACTTCAGAGGAAAAGCTAACAGTTACTATTCTGTCAGAACACTTAAAATTTCATTCTCCAATATAAAAGTTCATCTTACTAGAAGTATGTGCATTTCTCATGATCTATGCTTAAAAACAATTCTTCAAAGTTTTCAAAGTTTTCATTTACATGAAGTGTAAGTTACAATGGCTTCTTTTTCTGAGGCCATAAAAGCAAGCTCTCGGATTCAGGCCATGAATTGCAAAGGTGAAGCAGGCAGGAACATGAAGTAAGCGAGGTCAACTTTTTTCTCCACCTATTTAGTATCAGTATTGTTACTTCAGCTGGAGAATATGTTTTAGCTCCTTCCAACTCAGAGAAGGGGTGTCTCTTTCAACACATTATAGCCAAGGACAGAACTACAGAGGGTGTATCCACTGATTAAGTAACCATTTTCCTAGGCAGTAAGGAATGGTTCATTAAGTAAAACTTCCGAACTTCTATAGGAGCTAACTGGAGATTGACAGTGTTCTTCATGTCATGAAAACTTACTATTTCACTGCAAACTCCTCCTTAACATGCCAACATACAAGCTAAAATTGTTATGTGTTCCACCAACACCGACAAATTTGAATCATGGGTCAAAACAGAGTCAATAAGGAAACTTTCTGGTTGTAAACTATTGTAGACTGTTCTCCTCTGATTAAGAAATAAAAAACTCCACAAAATTTTTGCTACATGGAAGCATTTCTAAACCTGCAGCACCCAGGAGCCCTATCTCACCTGGAAGTGAGGTCACAGTAAGGTGTTTACTTCATTCAGCACCTCACAAAGTGGAATCATGCTGAGTTGCTGTGTGATTACTAACCTCTCCAGGGCAGTAATCATAGACCCAGGGAAGAATCATGCTGGCTTCTACTTATCATAGACCAAGTTCGGTCAGGTCACCAAAAATACCTACCCTCTTCCTCCTCCTAGTCTTCTTGCACCCTTTCTCTGCTGTTAACCTAATTCTATCTAGAAATACACACACCAGTTATGGACATATTGCTTAATACCCATAGTTCTAAAGGAATAATATCCCAACTCATAACAAAGAAATCTTCAGGAATGTTATCAGGGAAAGCTAGACAGCATTTTAGCAAAGATGCATTAAAGAATTGACGACAAATTTGCTTTAACCATGTTCACATGCCCCGTTCTGCCACAAGAATTCATTAACTGAACTGTTTCCTCCTCCCTTTTTTCCCCTCTAAGTTGTATATTCAGCTTTATTAATTCCTGATGAGAAACCAGGAAACTTTGAAATCAGAGTCTTTGCCCTATTTACTTCTCCTCCAATGTTGCAAATCAAAGTTGTCCAAGCATTTTACCTATTTAAATGTTGCTAAGTGACACAGGAACCTACCACAATACTTTTTTCCAAGCACTTAGGTACCTCCAAAGGTAATAGATCTCTCAAAATATCTAGATGGTAGCATCACAGTACAACAGGCAAAACCAAATACTGAGTTAAAGACTCTTAAGCCCAGTTCAGTGTTTTATCACCAACCACAGCAAAGACTGTGCAGCACACTTCAGCTGTTCTACTTCCATTAAAAACTAGAAAGTCAATGAAACAAAAAAAAACACACCATAAAAAAATTGCACTCTTCCTGCTTTAAGAGCACTGCAGTTTGCAAGGTGTATAATGGCCGTCATACATGCTGACTTTGCTTTTCAGAATGACTGCAAATTACCAGAAAACTCTTTTTCTTCCAAAACTAGAGTACTAAAATAAAACTCACATCTCAGGAAAGTATTCCACAAGAACTTGTTTGCTGATAACGAAAATAATTATCTTGTGACATCCTTTTACTCAATTTCTCCACAGCCATAGCATCTAATTTTGATTTTAGGTACTACACGTTTACAGTAACCTCCAAGGCACTAATGAATGAAGGTTCAGGAAAGTTACCGTACCTGTCTCCCAACATTCTCCTGGAAGGCAGCCTAAGGAACAGAGAACAAACATACCAAAACGAGTCAGGTTTGCTTTTTGATAAACACCAGATGATGAATTCAAAACACACAACAATATAAATGACCCATGGCTTTTCTTTTTTAAATAAAGTAAGCTTTGTCAGTAGAACAAGCCCACAGGGCTTTTTTGTTTCTGTGTCTCCATGTTCTGGTGTTCTTAAAGCTGTATGTTGCCTGACACCAGTTTAAGAATGCAAGTTTATTGAACTAGTCACACTCACAAGAGTGCTTTTGAGTAGCGACACAAGGCTTCGCACTGGAATTGAAAGTCAATACCTGTAGACAACAGAAATTCAGACAGCTCACTTTTGTCTAACTACTTCAACATAATTTGCTAACAGTAGGCAAAGTTTGATTCTTTGTCAATGAAAACTTCAGACAAAAAATATTGAGAATACAATATATATTTGAAAGATACACATCTGAAAGCATGCTGAAACACTGAAATTATAAAACCAGAAGAGAAAATTCATGTGTTTCTTGTGTTTTGCAAAATAAACAAAATCTTGCAAAATGCAACTAATATAACCATAAAGTTAATCTCTTTACTTGTATGGTATACAGTATAAAACCTACTTAACTCCGTACTAGAATTTTCTCCCTTTCTCAAAAAAGACAATTTTTTTTTGTTCCTTACAAGGATATACAATCATAAGTACTAATAAAAAATTTGGTAAATTTTAACTCTTTTCAGAGAGGAGAGATCATAATTATCTGGACATTTCTCTTAGGAAATGTCACTCTATCTACAAAGACAGATGGACTCTATCTACAATGGACAGCACTCATCACCTGACAATTGATATTTAACATACAAGGGGGAAGTCCCAATCTACTGAAAATGCCACAAGAATTTTGACAGACAGAGCTTCTGTATTTCCTACACAACTACAATATGCATGTGGTAATCCACCTGTAGAAACAAAAGATTAAGTTAGCTCACCCAGATACCATACTCCACATATGGAGCAAGCACTCACAGAACACAGGTGAGCAAGCCCTAATGAAGCCAGAGTTTCTAAGTGCATTTCTGAGGTTACGTCTGTTTAGGATAACGACTGCAGTTCCTGTAGACTTGCCCAGGCTAGTTCAGCTCCCGCTCGCAGTGTATCCATTGCAGGACACGTAGCACAGGCTGACTCTAAACCGCTTACCCACCGCTTTGGCGGGTTTTGGAGCCCACCGTAGCCTGCTCGCAGTTGCAGCCACGCTGCTAGCAGTGCCCCTGAGCTAACCAGTTTAGGATTGCCTCAGGCAGAACTGCATGGGCTATCCTCCGCAGTGGCGGCAGGGTAGATACAGCCTTGGGCAACACATAAAGCAGCCTTCCAGAACAGGAACATGAGCTGTAGCAATGCCCTACATTTGTTCTTTATTGTACGCTGTAGCCCGGCTTCTGACATGGGCTGTTTTCACTCCTTACCTCTCTACCAACATATGCTCCCAGCCAGGATTTGCCAGGACATCGTTTCGTGTCACTCTGCATCATTTATTTCTTTTTACTTACATGTTAGCCTTAGAGCCCCTTTTATGCTACCGAGATCCTTCTACTCAGCATAGGAACGTTTCAGCAGGGACGATGGTCTCAACTATCATATCCAAGGGATTCAATAGTTTCATCACTGCATTACAATTTCTTTTCAAAACATACTCCTCAGACAAGTGCCTTAACAATACTAAATCTGTAAAGCCTTTCCCCCCCACCTTCTTTTTAAATCAGAAACTTTGATACCCAAACGACATTGTAGTCTCAAACCAGTGAAAGTTTTATTCTACTTACAATACATCCATAGGCCCATGACTGAAATATATTGTGGCAAAATCATTGGAAAAAGATGTATAGGGGCCTATAGACAATGTTGCAGCAAAACAGCTGTTGTACATGAAGATTTCACATTGTTTGTTTACTTAATGTAGGAATTTTAAAATTCCACCACTCTATCACCATTTCATTTTTTAACTTACTCAGAAAAACAATCATGAAGATCTACAAAATAGTCCAGCAGCATGGCAAAAATACTTAGCATTCATCTGATGTATTCTAAACATCTAATTCACATGTTAATTTACACCTAATTAATCAGTTTATCTATAAAAAATATAAAACTTTAACCACTGCTTAAAAAGATAGATATTACTATTGCATTACTATAAATGTATTTGTTGATGATTTCAATTTAATAGCCTTGGAGAAAAATAATCAATTTTTTATAGATTCTCACGCTTGTGTTACAAATCTATAATTCATAAAAGTATGAAGAGAAATAATGGTAACTAGCAAATTCCCATATACATAGCTCAATAGCTGGAAAATTTTCCAGTTGCAGACTAAAACTGTATAGTAACTTGTTTCACAGCTGGTTGCTTAGGTAGAAGGAGGTTCGTACGCATCACCAGGAACCTCTCTCAGTTTCAGCATTGTTATTGTGCATTTAAAAAAAAAAAAAAAAAAAAGCTAAAAAGTGCCTCTTCTGCAAATAAGTTTTCAGCCCATTATCGGGAAATTTATGATGAAATGCAAGATACTCAAACAAAAACAGAAAAAGCCCTCAAGGGAACGTAAAAACGGAACCCTAGAGTTATATTTGGAAAATTTCACCACTGATTTAAGAAGGCTTTGTAGACAATGCACATTCCAGCTGTGACAATTTAAACACGTTACTGTTCTAGAACAGCATCTAATCCCAATTTTAGCAATAAAAATGTGATATATTATTTTTCCTGGTTATATTTGGAAAATTTCACCACTGATTTAAGAAGGCTTTGTAGACAATGCACATTCCAGCTGTGACAATTTAAACACGTTACTGTTCTAGAACAGCATCTAATCCCAATTTTAGCAATAAAAATGTGATATATTATTTTTCCTGGGTCTGAAGGAGCACGTCGAACAGAAAAAGTTCAAGGAAAACCATCCCCACAATATTATTCTGTTAAAGCTTTGTGAGAGAAAGTAAAATAGAGATATGAAAATAATCAAACATACTGTTCAACCAAGTGAAAAGGCAATTTTCCAGAGTTCATTTAATGTTCGCAGAGTTCCCTCCTTGCTCCTTCAGCACTTTTTTATTGTTTCACAAAAGACTTTTCCTCATTGTACTTCGGAGATTTCCAAAAACTGAAAATGTTACTATTTCAATCATACTTTCAAACAACTGCAAATTCCTAAAAGATGCCAAATACTTCAATTGTTTTGTAATAATATTTTTTCATTTTTCATACAATCCTCTTCTGGAGATGGAAAAACTGGATGGAAAGACCTTAACTTAAAGATTCCATGATATCAGAACCAAGATGACCATCTAGCCTTGTAACCTGAATACTTTGCTTTCCCACAAAAACTGAAAAAAATATTGAAACATTCTCCAAGTCACAATTTTAAAAATTACCAACCAAGAGGAAAAAAAAACAAACCTCTCTTTAGATGTTAGAGCTGAATGGAGCCCAATCCCAGATCACTTATTCATGTGATTATTTAATGATTATTCATGAAACAGTTGCAAAAGTCAGCTCAGAATGCTTTTGGAGCTTCAAAAGAAGAGTCTTGTTTTATTCTCTCTAACCTCAGGGTTCAAAATATCTCTATATGCTATTTTATTTTATTGGAGCTCTGCATTATAATATATTGCATATTGTAATAGATGGAAAATCTAGTAAAACATGTTGTTTATTTAAATATGTATTTAACTGTAGTAATGATTGGAAATAATTAGGACCCCCAGGTATTTTTCTTCATAATTGTAGTAATGCTTGGTAAACACAAAATATTTCTTTGCCTGCCTTTCTAAAATAAGAAAAAAGGTTTCAGTACTTTCATAACTAGCCATCAAAATAGCAATTCCAAATTTTGACCAGCTCTAAATTAGAACATACTAATGAAAAAATTAATTTGACTGGAGGTAACTGAATTGCAGAGTGCTCAATAGCTTGGTTTAAACTAGAAGAGGAAAGTGAGAAGAAAATATACTGTATTTTCTACTCATTTGAAATATGGAAGCACAATCTGCACTAAGCTTATAGCATCAGTAAATTTATCTGGTTTAGGACCAAATTTCATGATCAAACTATCGGTTTATGTTTAAACGTAGAAACATAATGAAGATTACACTCAGCAATTAGATCAAACTACTAAAGGTAAGCAGTACACTTGTAGTGGCAATCATGTTAAAAAGAATTCTCCTCTTTACATATATATATAACCTCTGATCCATAGGGCAATTCCTATAGAGCAAATAAGTAATTCACTTTTCACCATCTATACTCCTTAATGTTTCGTGCAGTTCCCAGGAAAGCAAAGCTACCTGTGTTTTCCTCTCAGGATTTTATTTTAATAAAGTGACTTAAATTAGCCAAGAATAGCAAATTCAACAGTTTTCAAAATTTAGACACTGAAGTTTGGGAGAAAGTAGCATTGCTTATATTAATTAGTTGTACAACATGTGAAGAATATGTTATGTCAGTACTCAGTGATCTACAGCATCTTAGCTTCCATCCTTTGCTTTTAACCTATTTAGACAAAGTGATTTGTGATATGGTTACACAAGCAACTGACTCACTTCCCCAGCAATTATGCTGCAGCTTCATTCAACAGCTTAAACTCTCAAGCAGAGGTGTGGCTAGAAAAATTAGGGATGCTACCCAGGTATCCCTGAGAAATCCTTCTCATGTTATAAATGCATTAGCTTTCAAAATTTCAGTCAAAAAATACGACAGACCTGTTAATTAATTTGCATGTTGCAAAGACTGCCTTTTTTTAATTTTTTTTTTTTTTTTTTTTTTTAAATGCATTCACAGTGAAGTTTATTTTTAGGAATAGAGACAGCTGGTTCTTGGACAGACATTGTTTGGTCCTGTGTTTGAGTTAATGCAGTTACAGGGTGGGGCTTTTTTACATTTGCATAAGATAATTTGTTTTATCTGTTGAAACAGACAACTCATACTTTTTTTTTTTTAAGAAATCAAGTTCAATATATACAACACACTGACTTAAATTCTCAAAGTTGTTCATTGTTTCTTCTACTCAAATTCTATAACCTGTCCTCCATACATTCATTCTCTTAAGAATAATCACGCATTCTTGTCAATTCTCAACAGCATAAATATTTTCTACAGAAAGGTTCCACAGAACCTTTGATGTCAGTCCTGTTAACTAGATAACAATATCTGCCTAATGGATTTACTACTTTCTTTTAAGAATTCCCAGTCCTATGGAAGGAGTTTTATACAATAACTGAAAACATGTTTGAAGGAGAAAGATTTTTCTAGAAATTTTCAACTTAGCACAATTACAGAGTAACAGTTGATGAACAATTAGAAAATTATAACTTCACAAAACTTACCAGCTTGGTAACTTGAAAAATATACAATGTTTGTATATTATGTATGACCCTTTCATCTTCGATATTGTGACTAGAAAATGCTAAATAGCTTGTTCTTAGATACTGTATCTTAACCATCATGACAACAATACAGTAGATTGTGAACTGTGGCCATAAATAAAGACATGGATCTGTGGATTATATAATTTAAAATCTAAATTCACACCATACTTCTAAGGATTTAAAAAAAGCACTTTTTCACTCACAACACAATATACTGTTTATTGTAGTTCTACATAGCTAAGTCTACAAATTATTAAATTAAATGAAAACAAACAAAAAGTAACAGAAACATATAAGCTAGGATGTGATAACTTACAGAAGCAGCTCTTCTGCAATTAACATCACGATCAAATACTGCAGCAATAACCAATGCACTGAGGAAATAAAATAATGAGTATTAGTACCAAAAATATGAGAAGAAATGTGTACGCCATCATTTCAACATTTAGACTTCTAAGCAGAACATGCAGCATTTCCTGTAAAGGAGCTTATTATTTGTAAATACAAGCCTAAACTAAAATTTGAGTTGAAATAACCATGTGCTTCCTCCTTTCTCTAGTTTGCTGTGGACTTTCCATAGCATAAACAGACAACTGCCATCCTACTGTATCAAAGCAATTTAAGGAGTATGCAAATACATTTAACTGCATAGAAAGGTTTTCTATTTTAAATATAGCAGGATTTTAGAACTTAGACATAACTACCATTTCCAATGTGAGACATACAGTGCAATTTCAAATTAAAACTTGGAAATACAGTTTCTCAATAGCCAAATGCACAGCAAGTCTTATTAAGGCTTAAGCAAAACCAAAAGTTAAGCAATGGAAACTTGCAGCTACCTCTGTAAGAACAATCCTCTCCTGTAAGTAACAAAAATCAGAAAACAGTATGCAAATCCTGCTAAAAGGTGACTTGCAAGACAAGTTGCAAAGCAGTTTTTTTAAAAGATGAGCTTTAGATACATAGGCATGATTACACGAAACTATTTCTTTGTGCATGAAGTCTGGTAACCCTACGCAGTTTAGTTCTTTTACCTCAAAAGAACTGCTTTTAAAAGATATGTTACACAACAGGAGAGAGAATATATCCCAGGACACAAAGTCTACAGCTTTAGAAATCAACCTCCAGCATTCAATTAATTTCAGTGACAAATAAACATCACTTCAGGAGAATCATTTAAGCAGAACATTATTCCTTTCAAACTCTGAAACTCTTCGTCACATTATTTATTGACTCCAGGCAAAACAGAAAATAAATACTGGCTGAAAAGTAAATCCAAGGAGCTTTGCTTTAGCATAGAGATATTAATTACAGTGATATTATCAAGCTTCCCTGAGTAGTGGCTATCAGTTTCCTACAGTGAAGAATACTGTGTTGTTAAAATTTGCTGAAATGCACAATCAATGTTGCCTCTGTAATTTCAGTTTATCTCCATTAAGGAAAACAAGAGACAGAAAGCAAGAATGAAATGAAAATAAACCCCAATAAATAGTTCTAAAGACAGTTAATGCTTTCTTATTGCTACTTGCATGAGCAATTCCTCTCTCTGCCACAAAGACATTAGGTGACTAGAAGGCAAAAGGAGGTCATCCAAACGATAGCAATTGGAAGAGCAAATGTTTAGCAAGCATTCCATTAGCAAGTAGCATACGTGGCTAAATGTTGAAAAAGTGCTGGGTTAAATACACCATCTTCATACCATCGTTGCTAATTTTCTGCGCTGGCATACAGAGAAACTTAAAAATAATTTTAAAAGGACATTTAAGTAGTATATAGTTTAAATGATAGAAATAGCTCCCATAAATCTTTTAATTATAGAAGAGAACATTCAAAACTAAGAAATTGGATGAAAATCATCCTGGAAAACAAAAAGAAGCAAATTTCTGCCTGACGTTTCTGATTATATAGACTGTAAAATAAAACATTATTTTGTCAGTTATGCAATATTTCATTATTGTTTTCTCCTGAGGAAAAAAAAAAAAAAAAAAAAACAAAAACAAAACATCCAAAAAAAAACCCTTATCAAGTCAGGAAGCTCAGAGTGTTGCCCTTACTGTGTCAAAGGTACCCTGGAGTGAAGTGTTACAGAGTATTTCAGAAGAGCTGTGCTGGGTCAGACCAAAATCCTCCCAAGTCATTGTCTTGTCTCCAACGTTGCCCCAAAGGGACACTCAGGGATAAATTTAAGGACAGACATATTAAATATTAACATACTGATTTGAAAGATTATACAGTCTTTTCAAACTGGAAATGTTATAAGACCATCACTGGAGAAAAAATACTGCTCTTTGAATTTCATATTTAGACTTAAAATGTGGTTTATTAAATATAATGGAAAACAGTTTCAGGTTATCATACACAATAAGAGTTCTGCTTATAATTAAATGGTACTTCTCCATTTTTTCTTATTCTTCTGTTACCTTAAGACAAACTTGTGTAAGTAAAACCAGCAAAACAACATACTGTATATGTGATGCCACCTGAGTTATTCAGTGCTGCTGGAATACTATGTTTTAAGAAAAACAAAACAAAACAGGAATTTTGTCATTGCACCTGTATCCCCATTATATTAATAAATCATACTGTAGCCACTGTTTTACGTTAATCCTTTTAATAGAAGTATTTTAAACTTATCAAACTACACGAATAATTTTTTCAAGTTAATTCCTATTTGAAAGTGCAGGCACAGTCTGCCATAACACAGGGATTAGCAAGGAAAGCAACATGCGTAAGATGAAACATGTCTAAGGTGTCTTCACCTGTCTGCTTTGTCGTGGGAGTTTATGTGATACTCCACCAGGATTTCCTAACATAAAGAAACTGTTTATGTCAAACAAAGTGGGATATTTTTTTAAGCTAGTTAAAGAATCATGTCTTGACTTGCCTGAAATGTACCACACCTGACTACTAACAGGTAGAGCAAAGAATGGCTTTGCATCTTGCAGTCTCTATGAAACACCTTTAGTAGTTCCTTGAGGTATATTTAGCCTCTAAGCACAACAAGCAGTTAAGTGTACAATAAACACAAACAGGCTTGAAAAAGCAAGCTGCAATTCTGTCAGTCAACTAATAATTCTCTCTTTCTTCCCTATCCCTTCCCCTCTCCTCCAAGTACTCACTTAATTGGCTTCAGGGAAAGTTAAAAGGTCTCAAAGTATGTTAGCATCTCACTTCCTAAGCCCAACACCGACGTCATTACCTTTCCCCATCAAGGCAGAAAGAATCAGAGAGCGGAGGCCAGCCAGGTGATAGACATCAGAACACAGAAATATCAGAAACATCAGGTTACCCTCTCATTATAAGCACCACATGTACCAGACAATAAATCTGAATTTATTTTATCACCTGTAGCAGGCACTTCCAGCCTACACTAGTCACAAGCAGCAAGAAGCTTATCCTGTTGCCATCCTCTGAGAATTTGCTACTGTTAATTCAAGCACACCACCCTGAAGCTGCAGGAATTAAAAAATAAACTCTCAAACCTCTTGCCAGTTTGGCACAAAACCAAAATTTCCTTCCTGAGCCCCAAAAAAGGGAAAAGTCTCACTTGTAACAGGACAGAAAACATTCCTCCCCATTATACATTAGGGAAGGCGTAATAATCATTACAAGCAAAACAGTTTTGAACAACCCAAGCAAGTTAAAAAAGGAGGCGAGACCAGACTCAGAACCAAGTCTGCTGAGAGCTGCTGCTGCAAACAGCCCTTTTTGCACCTCTTCAGTCACACCAGTACCCCAACTGGAATGGCTACACAGTGAGCTGGATGATGAAACAGAGCTAGGCTCAATTAGTTTTTCTTTTGCTAGCTTATCACATGGAGCTGGGCTATACTCAACTGCAAGAGCAACGCAGATGAAGGAGCAAGCAAAAGAGCCTGCTTCAGCTGGCATGGCTAGGGAAAAAAGCCCTTCAGACTACAGTCTCAGATTTAATTCCTCCTGTTTATCTAGGCAAGGAGAAGGTCTGAAGAAAAGAAGAAATGCAGTGACCATTCCCACTTCTACATTGCATACTTTCTCAGTCCCTCTAACCCAACTCACACCAAGCTCTTATACTTTCTGCTAGCCACCCAAGGTCCTACACTGTTCAGTGTGTTACTCCAATCCCAAAGTTCCAGGGTAAAATGATGAAAGTATAATAAATACACATGTAGAAAAGAGCAATAAGAAAAACGCTTAGAATAGGAGTTACAAATGCTGCTATTAAAAAAAAATAAGTAAGAAAGAAAAAAAAGGCATATGATGCCCCTGCAGGAAATAACTTTACACAAGTGCAAGACACAGTAGGCACACAACTCTCTTCTGAAGGCAACATTCAAATGCATAAAAGAAGAAAGCTATTCTCAATATTTCATCATGGTACAAGATGTAGCTCAAAGCAATGCTTCAAATTTCCCCAATTCTGCAGGACAATCTTGCCCTGGAGCAAGCTACATCATTCATCCATAGCCACACCTTCCTTCCCCCCCCCTTCAGAAACAACGCACCACCGCAGGGAAGGCAAAGCCGCCTGCACTCCTACACTGTACGCACTACTTGTATTAGTATTCTGCTGAACGGGAGATAGCAATTAGATCTTTCCAAATAATGATTCATTTATTGATTACCTACACCATCAAATGACAGAAATGAAACTACATTCTGACTATTCAAGAGTTCCAAATAATTAAGATAGCCAGTAACAATTTAATCACTGTAATTGTATAACAGAGGAGAAGTATGTTTTCCTTTTTATTTTTTGTTTAGGTTTTAAACAAAACAGCTCAGCTTCTTGGCGTGCACCTGCTACTTTACAGACAGTAACTTCCACACCCAAGGGGGCAAGAATCAAATTACTTGTATTTCCAAGTTATTACATTATGTTTAACTTTCCTCATAGATAAGCTTAAAAAGAGAGCATACATGTAGAGACTGGGAGAGAGAAAAAAAAATAATTCTCGGTCAAGCAGTGCTTTTGTAAAGATATGCTTGAAGAGCAACTTCAGTACATGCATTTCAAAATGTAGTAAGGTTATCCTGCAATAAAAGTGAAGTTTCATTTACTCTGCCAAGAATTTTCTTTTTGTGGTCCTGTAGTTTGAATAGATCAGGCAAGTTTTTAGAAACCAGTTTAACTAGACTTTAAAAAATAAATATGCAAATGTGAGTAAGTGTATCTAGATGAAATATGGATAGGGAAAAAATACCGACATGTAAAAATATGAGCAAGGACTATTAGAAATACTCTTGGGCGAGTACTTCTAATAAGTGTTCTCTATTGGTTGTTTTTTTTTTTTTTCTTAAAAGAAGAGTGGTAAGGTCAGGAAGGAAAAGGGCTGATCTATGATTTACAAAAAATCTAAGTTTGTCACTTCAATATTCTGACAATTTCATCACTTAATAACAGAACATTCATAAGAAAGCAGAGAAGAAACAGCGATCACCAAATATGGAGACAGATATTTCTTCTACAACATCGTCATAAAGTTTACTAGAAAAATAGGATTTTATGCAGTTTAAGGTGATTTTTCATTATCACTATTTCAAAAATGCAGTATTTATGTCCCTTGACTACTGAAAACACAGAAAACAATGTCCTTCCATTACATAATGATACAGCTTTGCAGGCAAGAAAAGAGGAAAAAAAAAACCCACACCACCAAATTGCCCCTCTGCTTTAATTCAGAACTACTGTACCACAGTCTGAATGGGTTGTGGGGCAGGACTCAGTTTAAGTAACATACTTTTTGGTACCCAAGTGAGTTTCCTGACAAGATACACTAACATGTGCCAAAGGTCATGACATGAAGTAGGAAGACATGAAGCAGCTCACTGTTTAACTCAACAACTTCTAGTTACCACCAGTGCGCTTGCTCTACCATGATGACCGCCTTGCCTTTCAAGTCTGAGTGTAGCAACCAGCTACTTGTGCTCCAAGTTCAGCATTACCTGTGTTCCTCCAGCCACTCAAACAGCAGTGTTAAAGACTGTGAACGAAGGATAAACCACTTGCAATTTCTAGAACCAAGACAAAGCAAACAGTTCGGGATCGGATCACAATCACTCATTACATTTTTTTGAGGAGGCAGTATTTTCCTTTCAGGTAAACAATTTATTACTTTTCTATAAGAATCTAATAGCTTGTATTCTTATATAGGCAGATGTTTTTTGCTGTGTAATTCAGCTCACAATGGATATTATGTGCTTTGTTTCAAGATGCTGAGTTTTGCATTTTTTAAGGGTAGCAACAATTTGCTTGTGGCTAGAAGTATGACTCTTCTTTAAGTAAAACAGTGACACACCTAAGGCTAGATTTAAAAAAAAGGCTGTATGTAATTATCAGCTTGCTGACACAATAGGTGAAACTGTGTGTCATACTTTATTTGAATATTTTTTTTCACCGTTTCTCTTTGGAGTGGCAATTCTACCTTCAAGAGTTGCTTATGTTTAGAAAAGGTATGGCCAACATTAACTACAAAGATTTTTAAGTAAAGCCTTAATATAGCATTAATATTTGCTAAATACTGTGCAGCTTCGTTAGAAAACTAAGCATATGCAAACCACAACACCTTACAACTGATCATAAGCAATTTTCAGCTTCCCCCTTGCAGTCCACCAACTTATTCCAAACAATTGAAGTTGTTCTAAGCCACAGTGTTAATTGGTATTACTACCATAGGTAGAAGATATCAATTATTTTCATTTGACATTTTTCTAAAAAGAAAAGAAGAATCTGTTTCTAGAATAGTCTGACAGCTGAAAGACAGGAGCTTCTTCAGAAACATAACCTCCTTCACACCTGTCCACAAGTTCCCACTAATAGCTTTGTAAAACAAAATACCACAAACCATGAAAAATCAAAATGGTGAGCTTGTATCTAATGTATGGAGAACAACATTGGTTTGCCCCATGGTAGAGTGAAAGGATTAAAAGAAATTTATTGCTCAAAGCATCATGAGTAGAAGAAAAATTCTGATAGAACAGATCAGAATTCTCATAAATAGGCGGCTTACACACTCACACTTAGGCTTTTTTAAGTTTCACAAGGAACAAGCTTGCCAGACCTTAAAAGAAACCTTAAAGCTGTTCAACTAAGTGAGAGGATGGAAGCAGACGATTTATTTTCAGAAGGCTGCTGACTAAATCTACAAAAAGCAGTAGTTTTGAACCAGACTTCAGTACTGGCATGGCTACACTCATCCTAAAGATTTGCTCGTAGCAAGAATATAAAAGTACTCCTGCAAATTTAAAGATAGTAGTAAATAACTGCACGGCTGACAACAGCCTTGTAGAAACATTTGTTAACATTCAGGTCATGGGTGTCACTGTGTCTTCATTGCTACCATTACCTGTGCTGGTTAGATTAAAAATAGGAATACAACCCAAGATGTAATCACATTATTATTTCACTGTGCAAACACATCTTTAGGTACCTTTATGTTAAGAATTTCATACTATATATAATTTACCATGAACTCAGCCAGAAGAGAATTAAATGTGACTGTTCAAAATAAAATCTTTCTTTAATAACTTACTATGGCAAATATCACTATTTGTAGCATGCTTAAGTGAAGCAGGTCTATTCTGAAGCACAGCATTCTCTTTCTGAAAGTCATCCAGAAACAATGGATGGCATCATGTTCTAACACAGCTTGGTGTTACAAGACTCCTCTCCTTTAGTATCTACGCTATAGTGGATGAAACATCATCAAAACAACACGAAACTGCTTTATCAGAGACACAAGGCTAAGATGTCTTAGAATTTTTTGTCTGCTCACTTCAGAGGAAAGATGTGACAGCTTAAAAAAAAAAAAAAAAAGAAGAAAAACAGCATTTGGCCTTAAGAAATTTGACAGCAGGTTCTTAGACAGAAAGATTTTATCAAGGTCTCAAAAATCCCCAGAAGCAAGTACCACACAGATAAGAGGCCCTGCATTAAAGGACCAGCACTGGAAAGTGAGGATACCAGGATGAGGAAGAGCAGAGACCAGCAAGGGCACAGTGCATGAGGATCAAACAATAAAAATGGATACGTAGGTCTTACAGACTGTCCCAAAGAACTTTAAAAACAGGTTTCAAAGAAGAAAAAAAAAGTCACATATTCCTTGGGAACCAGCTAAGCTAAGTAATCCTATCTTTCCAAACAAGGCTTTTTGGATGAGATTGAAATAGTTGTGTCAGCAATCTGGAAGCAAGGCAGCCCCGAGAAACTGAACCAGGTATCCAGCACCACAGATCACTGTAGAGTCCAAACTTTTTTTTTCTTTTGAAAAAAATAATACAAAATGACTACTGATCAAAACCCCTCCCATGGAGACAAAGATGCCTGAGTTGCTGCTATCAATGGTCGTACTAAAAGTCTGCCAAGAAACTGTTAGAAGCTACCTCTTTGTATTTGCAGAACAAATCATCCATTAAAGACACCTTGAAATGTCAGCCAGTGTGCTGCCAGCAAAAATGCTAAGTGCTAAAGAGAGAATCCCACAAGCAATTAGGAGGAAAAGCACGAGACAAAAGAAAAAAGAAAAAGGTAAAAATAAATCTATATCTGCAACAATATTGTCAATATTAAGTGAAAAGCTGCACCAAGTTCTAGTCCACCATTGCAGTATCACAGACTTTGATTTGGAAATCTTTTGAAGATCTTTTGAAACAGAAACCACACATTGAAAAAGCAGTACATGCATGTATTTCCATTCAACTGTAAGTAGTGTTTAGCATTGTGGTCATTCTGGACTGGGGTACTACATAAAAACAGAAGGTATCAAAAGAAAAAAAAAAATCTCTCATGTATTTGTTAACTTTAACTAAAACATCTGATTAGTTGTAAAAAAATCTCCATTATTAAAAAGTGATATGCTACTAAGAATTCAGAATCACTGTGTAGAGCTCAAGTTCTTACCGCTTTCAGAAACTGGACGTGATTTTATTATTTACACAAAATAATGTCCAAATTAGAACACTTCAAAATGAAAATTATAAATTGTACAGAAGAAACAGGAGGCTCCAAAATGGCTATTTAGAGAAGAGCTGAAGAGTAGTTTATTCTTTTAGACGTAACCTGCTCAACTTGCAAGTTGTAACGTGGTCAATAAAGATACGATATATTCTTTAAACAATACCCATCCAACCAAGTACCAAAACTCCTGGATCATTAGAAACAAGTGTTCACCTGAAAAGGTAAGAAGTAACAACTTCTGTAAGTTTTCTGTTTTTCTAATATTTCCAGCTCTTTATGACTCCATAAAGCAACTCTCCAGTTTTAGAGTGGTTTGTTTTTTCTACCTCTACTGCACTAGGGTTCCAAATCTTCTTAAACTTCCTGAAATCTGTTTCACTGAGCTAACCATAAAGCAGGTGATCAAGCAGATAACAGATGAAACCTCCCCTACCCAAAACTTCCGCTAATTTCCTCTGAATCTTCTTACAGTGAATTTCTTTGGATTTTTCTTTGGTTTTCTTACGACAGATAAACAGAAGGAAATGAAGTAATCACACCTGATAAGGAAATATTTAGATGCATTTTTATCCAAAAAGTTAAATGACATCATACTGCAATAGGAAGAAATTTTAGACTTCAACAATTACATAGAAAGGCAACGGTATCGTTTCTGTCATTGTCATCCCACCCATATTCAACTCTCTAAGACATTTAGCATATCTGTTACATGAATCAATGAACTTTATTAAAAATTATCATAGAGAAACAAAAATATCCATTCCTTAGCAAACAATATCCAGAGATTAATGAATTTCATTCATGTTATATGGGACACACCAGCTACTTTTTAAACAGGAAGATATTTCCCCTAAATGGATACATCACTTTTGGTCAATATCTAATTTTAAATGTCTTAAAGATAAAGCATTAGCCTCCCAGATTATTAACTTCCAGAAGATACAGAATTAGACTAACTTCTAGCTCTTTCCTAACTTTGAACAGATTTTAGAAATTAACTGTAAATAGCTCAGTTTCTTACTGCCACAACTTACCTTGAAATCTGATTAATAAATGGTATCAGTTCTGCAGGATCGTAAGCACGAGCAAAGGCCCAGCACACATAGCACGCTGCATCTCTCACGTTGGAACCCACACTGCATGCCCCCCTCTTCTCATCATATGTCAGTGCTTTCAAAATGACAGGAACAACTGTTAAAACAAACAAAAAAAAAATGTACAAAAGCAACAATTAGGATCATACAGTGAACCAAAAAAAAAAAAGATGTAAGAGCATTCAGTGATCATTACAGAAAAGACATAGGGTGGAGTTTTGTGTTCTGAAAGAAAAGACAACATGGCTCTTGATATATTCTAATTTTGAAGTTGATTAGAAAGAAGAGGGGTTTTTTTCTAATACACTATTTTCTTTGTTTCTTTGTCAGTAGCAGTTTATTTTTCTATTTCTTTCACATATAATTCAATGAGGATTAAAGCAAGTGGGTTACATAAGAAGTAACACTGATATTTATTACTCAGTGATACATATTCAAACTCAAAGTAATTTTAAATTCAAAATTTTAAGGTGTCCACTTTTTAAAGTACTGAACTTTAAATATGACAGCAGCATCTATCACTAGAAAAAAAAAATTTCTTACGAAATATGGTATTGTAACTACCACAAAATAAAAGAATCAGTATCCATCCATGAGCAGTCAACATTTATCATGGTCAAAGTCCTAATATACCAAATTCTTCTTAATTAACAATGCTTGTGAATCATCAATATACCAATCTTGAAAGGGACTTAAGTACAGTGTTTGCATAATCTTATAGCAAAGTGACATGTTCGACATTATTCTTGCATGAAGCAAGCTGTGATGTTTTATTCCCCATACAGCTGTTATTTTTAGCGACCTCAATGCCATGTTTTAAGCTTGAACCTATCAGCACTGCCAAACTGCACAGACCATACAGACAGAATATGTATAAAACTGCAGTGTAACCTAGAAATGCAAACAGGTGGGCTTTACTCTCATTTCTGCTTAGACATCAAAACAATGACTACACACCTCTTCACCGGCACAGAATGATTTAATGCAAGAGCAGAAGCCTTTGACAAAGGAAAACAGTACACACGCACACATAAAAAAAAAAACCAACAATGTCTTTTTGTGCCTAAAACCCACAGACCTCAATATAACATATGCCTCTGTGCCACATCTTACTGACGGAGCTCCAGAGGAAACGCAAATGCAGTTGCCCAGAGCATAAGCCCAGGCTGAGCACTGGAACCACATGATACCGGTGAAGTGGGACTGCAGTCAAATACAGCTGGCTTTTTTTTTTTTTTCCTAAATCATATTAGGGAAAACAGAGAAAGCAGAGTAGTAAAACAGAAATAAAGGTAAATGAAGATCCCAGAATCTTATCAAAAAGGCCTTATAACACAGGCACTGTTATTGTAAGGAAGGGACAAAAATAAACTTGGGAAAACAAGCAGAAGAAGAGTTTAACTTTCATGCTTATGTCCCTATCAAAACTGCAGAAGTCAGTAACATTTTTCTACAGATAACAGAGCTTCCAAAAACTTAAAGAAGAATTCTCTTACGCAGTTCTAGTAGTACACTGCCACAGTTTAAGAAATACTATCTGTACGCAAGGTTTTCTTTTGGTATCTGCAAATCCAGATATATAATTTGAATACACCTCTCTCGATGGCATGTCTTTAATAAATGAATAATGTCTGTAGAAACAACAGCCTCTAGAAAAAAAAGAAACAATTTCTCTATTTTCTTTCTTATATCAAATGGATCCTTTTTCCTTAGAAAATACTTGTCAAAAGGTGATTCCATTGAACAAGAAATGGGATCGCTGAACTGTATTTCATTAGCAAACTGCGCCTGGATATACTTGAGTGGATATAATCACAAAATAATTAAACTTCAACATACCGTTCATCACTGCATGCCTGCTACTTTAAACAAAAAAATATGCACCACAACTGGAGAAGGGAAGTGTTAAAATGCCATTTAAATTCATTTTAACCTACTAAAGAAAATAAAGCACTAATTAGAGGGATCGACAAGATATGACTATCAAGAGCACAAGCACCACATGGGGGAAAAAAAAGCAATTCCCATTCAGGAACAATGATATAGCAAAGATGGATGGATATCTGGGCACTTCCCAGTTCCAAAAGAAACTGCAATAAAAATCTTTTAAAATGTTGACTAGCTTGTTTTGAAAAATGCTACATCAACTGATGAAAAAAAATGGAATTTGCTGGTTCTACAGGAATACTAAAACAGACGCCAAAGGCAATTTTGCAAAGCTGCTGCAAATTTCCTTCAGCAACAGGGTCATTACTCCAGCTACTTCAGACAGCTGTGAGCGCACTCTCATCTCTCTGTGCACTGAAGGAAACGTGGAAAGAGGACCCACAAGCAGCTCTTCACATTGGTATAATCTGTATGAAAGAAAAAAACATGTTTTTTCAATTCAGGGCATTGATTTCCCAAATGGTAGGGACAATACCAAAAGGCACCTGGCTTATTATGGTCAGCCTAAGACAGAAGTGATGCTGCCAGGGGTCCATAACAGCAGGTACTAAGAAAATGCCTGGAACAGCAGCACTATTGCTCTGAGCAGCTCGAGCTTTCCCCATTATCTCACAGCAGGCCTTTGGTCTCAACACCTCTTTGATGTCCTATTCCCCCGTGTGGGACTCAAAGCGCTGCTGCTGCAAGAGAAACTACGTGACTGCAAAGACTGGAGAGCAAAGAGGGACAATGAAAAGGAAGGATACAAAAGTGGACATTTAGAAGGTGGGAAAAACAGGGAAAATAAGGTGAAGTATGCAGCAGTAAGGGCTAAGAACAAGGGAAATACTGATCTAGGGGTCATCTGTTAAAGTTTTTGTGCTATCACTGGTCGAATATTTACTGGTGAACTGTGAACTATGTGAAATACTATATAAAAATTGCTCCTGATGAATGTTCGTGTGTTTAAAAAAGTGGGTCCAGCATTACGTTTCCTGTTGGAGTTTTATGACTCTTAAATGCCAAAAGAAACTACCAAAAATTCCTGGTTTCACTTCATTGTTTACCCTAGAGTTCTCAAACACAATGCAAGTTTTTTTCCGCTATGGCTTCCTGCGGTGTCAGAAGAGCCTGGCTGGAGGAAGTCATGAAGGAGCTGTACAGGCAAAACCATCTTAGTATTTAGTTCAGTGTAACTGAAAATCTTAGGAAAAACCTTCTTAATCCACAGTTTGACAGACTCTGTGTTCGCATTATCTCATGTACACTTCATGTACACACAGTCTAAACACAGTAAGTTGAATTTTATTTAACATCTTTCTCTGATTTAAACTGTTCACATTCATACTCCTCTAAATCATTGTTTGATACAAAGCAGCAATGAAGTTCAAAGCTTTGTAGTCAGCTTTTGCATTTTGTATCTGTTATGCAACTTCAATGCACCATTATAATCACTTCTCAAATATTCAGTATGGTCACAGTGTTGTACTGTGCTGCTCTGTATTGCTTCAATTTTTCAGATTTAAAATCATGTTGAATTCATACCTAAATTCAATTTAACAAAACAGACATAAATAAAAAAAGCTTTAGGAAAAAAAAAAACTTCCAGAAGAAACTTATTTTAGTTTGGAAGGGCAGAGAGACAAATGCCTTTATTTTTGAAATTATGAACATGCCTTTTTTATTTAAAAGTAGGAAGCTGGGAGACACAACAAGAAGATCACCTGAATTGTTACTTAACTTCAAAAGTTACTATTTCTTTCACAGATCTACATTAAAAGTTTGCCATTAAAAACATAGGATAAATAGTGTCCATTCTCAACCTAATTATTAAAACAATATCCACCTGTTGAGGTCTGTGAACGCTCAAGAAAATACAGTCACCTTTACCTGTAGCCTAGAGGTATTAATAAGCACCTGTTACACTCCACCCTGCCTTACCTAACAACATAACTGCAGGTTGCAACACAGCTCTTTGCTCAAGCCTTGTGAAAAGAAAGAAACAACTGCTGGCTTCAAAGCATTACAAACACCAGATTTTTTTTTTCTCATACTGGAGACAAGTTGCACAGATCTTTTGCTTTTTAAACACAGATTGTAAACAATGAGATGCTTAGCACCTTTCAGGTGCAGGTGATAGACACTAAACGACTAGTGAAGAAAACTTACGGAAGACATGGTATACTGAAAGGACACATGTATGTAAACAAAAAATTATTCCTTTAAAGAAGTGCCTTTAAAAACATACTTTACAGAAACCTAGACTATAACACATGCCCATCAGGAGCCCTATGTTACTTTAAAAAAAAAAAAGAAACAATCTGAAGTTAATTTATTGCAATGTTTATCCTATAAAACATACAAATACAGCCATTAAACAAACAAACAACAACAAAAACCTGTTCCTTAGCCTTAGGTCTTGTCTCCACAAGAAAACTGCAAAATTTCATGTCAACCCAATTTCATTTAAAACAGATTTTCACTGGATCTCAACTTACTTAAGAATCGTCTAAATTTAGTTTACAACTAAAATATGCCACTGTTAAAACAGATTAAGCTAATGTTACCTCTTAGATAAGTCTCACATTTTGATATGGACCATTTATGCAGAGAGACCTTCTCAATTCATAAGTAATATATTGCAAAACCTTCTATTTTAGAATTATAAAATACAAGAAAAAATACTACAAAATGGATGCCTGCTATTACTGAAGGAAGTATTGTACACAATGTCACTCCAGGAGCTGCTAAGAACATTACAATTAATGAGTCATGAAGTTTAAACACAGTTACGTATCAATACAAAGAATAATAATTTTATTCTTCAAATTTTTCTTCAACGAAACTAACTCCTTGCGGAAGTGTCCTTCAGTAGGTTCATCCTCTTTGTGAGCCTCAGGCATAAAAAAAAAGGTGTAAACAGCCATATCTACAGTATATCAGCTTCCCATGTTTTAAATAGCATACCTATCACTATCATTCATATGCTAAAAAATGAACTCTGTTTTTTCAGTGTAAAGAATTTCAGATTTGAGACCCCATGCTCTTACATGGCACTCTAACCTCTTTTAGAAAAAGAGGCAGGTCCTAATCATAACTTCATTAGGGCTGTTATACTAATATTTAATATATCAACACAGATGCAAACATAGATAATTTCAGGTTAGGCCC